GGTGTACATCTTCCTCCTGAAATTCCAATTAGTTTTTAGAGAATAATATTTTGACCAATGGATTTTTTTTTTACATTTTCCACTACTTGATATTACTTCCCTAACCAATGCCATTGTTTTTATAATATAGGTTGTATATCTGTAATCCCAAAGTCTAAAATTCAAAATTCTCTAACATCTCAAATGTTTGGGTGCTGACATGACTCCCCAAGTGGAAAGTTCTACACCATGAAAGTTTATTTTATGCACAAAATTATTGAAAGTACTGTGTAAAATTACTACCAGATTATGTATATAAGCTGTAAAAAAAAAATTGTGTTTAGACATACGTCCCATCCCCAAGATGTCTCATTATGTATACTCAAATATTCCAAAGTCTGAAATCCAAATCACTTCTGGTCCCAAGCATTTTGGATAAGGGATATGCAACCTGGAGTACTTCTCCCAAAATTGAATAATCAAATCATTTTTCTCTACTGGTTATGTCCCTCCAAATGGTATTATGTTAAATCTTATCTTATTCTGAGAAAATGTTAGAGTGGCTCTACATCAGATTTTCTGTGCTTCATTTTTTTTTGTGGTTCAGAGTCCAGTCCAAATTATTTCTTTTACTTTCGTATTCTAAAAGTGCTTGTTACATGGATGGATGACTTGTAACCAACACAGGTTTTTGCATTTGATCCTAGTGAATTATTTTGCCACTACATGGAAATAAAAAATATTCCTTAAAGATCATGGTCTAATTTTACCATGTACTCAGTTTGATTCAATTTTTCCTTCTAGTCTCATTGCTAGTTAGATGGTCTTATGTTGAGGCCCATGAGGCCATAAGCTCCGGGGAGTCACTGAGTTAACTTCCCGAGTCCGCATATCCACTCAACATTGTCGCTAGGCTGAAACATAGGTGTCCATTAGCATTTTTAAAACTGTAAAAAGATACTGAAGATTATTAACATTTAAACTACTTGAAAGCATTATCAAATTCCTACAAGTGTGGTTTGTTTGTTTGTTTGTTTCTTTTTTTCCTGAGGATTTAACCCAGGGATGCTTTAACACTGAGCTACATCCCCGGCCATTATTATTATTATTATTATTATTATTATTATTATTATTTTGTGACAGGGTCTCACTTAGTGGCTGAGGGCCTCAATAAGTTACTGACACTGAACTTGAACTTGGGATCCTCTTGTCTCAGACTCCCAGGTTTCTGGAATTAGTGTGTTTTTAATGTATTTTCTTGGTAAGATGAGGGCAGGGATATAGCTCAGCGGTACAGTGCCCTCCTAGCACACACAGCCCCAGCACTGAACAAAACTAACTTAGTCAGAAGAAACAATCTTCTTACTAAGTATATAGAAAATGTGTTTAAAGATTTAAGAAGCATTTTAATGGGCAAAAGTGTCAAGAGGGACCTCATTTTCAGCCTAAAAGGCTCCCTGTTACTTCCCTCATCCAGTAAGATTTTTCACCTTATTTATTTTAGTATGTGTGGTTATCCTCACTTGCAACGTTAACCCAGAACTCCCTCTTATCCCTCTCTTGCTTTTAGAATTTATTCCCAGCAGTGTAGCAAATGTTTTTTAAAACTATGACACCCATTTACTCCACTAATACTTGTTCATTCATTTTTTCATACATTGAAAAATATGCATAGAGCTCACACTGAGTGCTTCTTACTTCTGGCCGTGTATAAGAATCACCTGTGGAGCTTCAAAAACCATAGATAACCATTTCCTCTCCCACCTACTGTAGGAGCATCTCTGAGGAGCAGGGGTGTTGGGCACCTGTTTTTAGAGTTCCCTAGGAGATTCAGAATGCACACCAGGGGAAGGGCTGACAGCCTGCTGCGGGTCAGGCTGTGCAGGGGTGTTTCGCCTCAGCAGCCTGAAAAAGTCAGCCCGGGCAGCCATCTCCTCTAACACTGCTGTGGAAATCCCACAGCAACTTCTCTTTGAGTTCCATCAGCTTGTCACCAAGTGCGTTGTATCTGAGACCTTGAAATGATTGTGAAAAAAAAATGTTTTACCTAATTAGAAAAATGCCAGACTTAAGCATTTGATTCTTGGCCTTAAAAACTCCGATCCAGACTGTCTGGCTCGGCCCGAGTGCCTGGCAAACGGTGCACAATGGCTGGCACCTAGACACAGGGCAAGGGATGTTTTTGTTGATGGAACAATCAAATAAAAGAGCAATGCTTGGTAGCAAGGAATTGTTTGCTAACTTCAGAGTTTCAATTATTAGTGGTGGGAAAAAACAACCCAGAGGCAAAATCCCTTATTCCCAGAAAATAATCACTTACGAACAAGGAGCAAGGCCGTTCATATAACATCTCCCAAGGGTATTACATTCCAGGAATATTATCAGATTTACTGCCAAATATAAAAATTTTCCTTAATTCCAAGAGTAATAAATTTAATGTAGATTTCTTCCTATTGAAGACTTACAGATTTTGTTCTTCTCATTGTCAGTACTTTTTTTCTTTTTCCTCTCTCCCACCTCTCTTCCTTCCTTCTTTCCCCGGAAGATTTCCATCTTTTGATATCAGGAGAGAAAGTAAGAATTGAATTCTCATCTACAACGGGCACAGGCCCGACAGCAGCATGAAAGTAAGGAGGTATGTGATGTCATGATTCTGGGCAATTCATCTCTTCATGGAAAATAGTTTATTCTGTGGAGACAGGAAATTAAGAGTAGAATTCAGTCTTCTAGAGAAAGCACAGACAAGAGCTAGTCGGTCTTAAGGTCCTCGCCATGCAGACTGAAGTTGAAGGTGGGGGGAATGAGAACACTGGGAAATAAGTGGATTCTGGAAATCAGGAGGAAGAGGGGGAGGGACTGTCCCAGCTGAGAAGCTCATCTCTGGCACACAGGCGCCAAGTGTACCAGTGATGATGGCGTAGAGGCTGCCAAACAATTGGGTAACTAAATCGATTCATTTTTCCCCCTAGTAATTGGAGTGAATTGGGTCCTAAAGTTTCTTACATTTATGAAATATTTTCACATATATATAATTACCTGGGAAGGTAGGTGGAATAAGCACCGTTACCTCAAATTTTCATTAGAAAAACAGGAGGGTTCAGAAACGTTATGTGCCTTGCCTGAGTTTGATGAGCTGGTTGGTGATAACTCTGGAGCAAGAGTCCAGACCTTCTCTCTGGTGATCCCCGTACCTGGTGAGGAGTGATGTCACTGGCTGGGTACTGAGAGACCTTTCCTGAAAGAACACATGGGCCCTTCCTCATATAGATGGTGGAAAAGGCCCAGAGGGAAAGTAAAGCCCTGATGGGAGGCTTTACCTCTTCAGATGCCTCTAGAAAGCTTGTTCTAGAGAAAGCAGAGAATTTTACACAGTTTTGTTTTGCTTTGTTTAGCAAGTAGGGAAACCAAGGTGCAGGGGTCAATTGCTCCACGAGACTTAATATAATTAATTATTCAAGAATGGGTTGAGGATACAGACACAATGGGAATTCAAGTAGAAGGTATTAAGTTTGAAAGAATAAAGAAGTGAGGTATTTCCTTACTTCACCAGTTAACAAGTTAGCCTGCCACAGATTTGTATATACTTATTGAGGGTGTGTGTGTGTGTGTGTGTGTGTGTGTGTGTGTGTACAATCACATAATTACATTTTGATCAAGGATCAACTACATATACAATGGTGGTTCTGTAAGACCATATCACCATAAGATCATATAAGGAATGATATTCCCTCTATGACATTACCACAACTGTGAAAGTGCCTAAGTAAGCATTTCTCAGAATGTTGTCAAGCAAAGCATGGCTATATATTATCCATATGCATGTTATTTGTATGTAGGAATGTTTATATGCACATCATTTATATATAGTTATGTGTGTACCTTTCTGTGTTCTAATAAGAAAAAAACATTACATCTCTGGATCAGAAACTTTACTGCTCACAGAGCATCTCATCTCCACTTTCCAGCCCCAATCCCAGAGATATACGTCATGAGTTATCAAGAATGTCATAATGAGTTACCTGGAATGCCATAATTAAATCATTGTAGTCCAAGGAAAATTGCTCTCCTTTCCAACTATGGTCAAGAAAACCCCCACCAATCAAAATGAGTGTGGGGGTAGGGGTTTTGAGGGAAGATGGATGTGAAACGAGGAAACCAGGACAAACTGGAGCCTAAGATACTAACTGGAATCTGTGGGGATGGCCTCCTCACCTCCAGCTTCACTACCAGAAGCTGGTACTTTTTGTTTGGAGGTGAACACTCTCCTGGCCTTGCAATCAGAGGAATTGAAGGAAAGGATTCAGCAGGAGCTGAAGTTGCTGCAGGCCAGCCAGGGAAGCAAGGAAGATGAACAGCAGGCTCCAGCCCTGCCCCAACCTTCAAACCTGGAAAGCAATATGGCTGCCACTTTTCACCTTCTAAATTGCCCACACAGTGTCATGGGATGATATAGGCAAAGAATTCTGGGAAATGTAGTTTCTGCTAAGCTAGAGTGGTGCAATACAAATCCCCATATCCTGACCTATTCTGAGCTCTTCAGTGGACTCTGGACTCTCATTACTTTCTTCCTGAGCAAGATGTCTCATGTGGGCTTTCCAACTGTTCCCCTATCTGTTCCTTATTTTTGGTCCTCTTGAACAATTTCTTTCTCTTATTTGTATTCTCTTGGGTTCTCCATCTCTCTTTAGCTGATGTGGCTTAGTGCCAGGCAGTCCCCTGGCAAAGGCTCAGCTGATCTTGGCTTAGGAGAAGGAGAACCTCATGGTTCAGATGCTTTGTTCTGTTTCCTCGTGATTTTTAAGCTGCATTTGCGGCGAGCTGGTTGCGTGCTGTGTTTCTGCAGTCGATGGTGCATCGGTGGGGAGTCTGTCTTGCACACATCTCTTTTGAAGCTGGTGCTGACTGATGCTCCTGATTTTGAGTTGATCAGAGGATTTTCCTAACAAAGAAGAGCAGTGTGCTTTGGCACAGCTGCTTGGTATCTTCCTAGAATGCTGGAAGAAAGCACGCATTCATTTGGTGTTGGCTAGTTTTTCTTTGTCTAAATTGTCCCATTTGGCTGGGCCCCTTGGCTTTCATCTATTAGAATGGGGATATAGAAAACGCTTCCTCTTGGTTTATGAGATTAAACCAGGATGGAGGTTGACATAAACATTTCTGGGCCATCAGAGCTCTGTGAAGAGCACTTCTGTGTTCCAGATGCGGGGCGTGCCTGTGCAGAGCCCACCCGGAGATCACAGTTTGCTGACTTGTCGATGGCCGCCTAGAGGAAGGCAGGGATTCTGAATAATGACTCTGCAAACTGGAGACAAGAGACCCAGAAGCCACCATTCTTCCGGCAGTGTTTACAATGTAGGCGAGAGGCCACAGACATATTTTTGAGGTGAGAAGGACTGTGTGTGGTTTTTTTCATAATAATAATAAAAAATCTTTAGCATTTTCCGAATAAATAATATCCCTCTCTCAATTAGTGTTAACAGCTAATCAGGGTGCAGCAGGGTAGCGGAGCCCTTGACGAACAGCAGGCAGCTTGTTTTATTTTTTCAGTGCTGCTTAAAGATTATTTGAAAAATCTCCTTCAGAGACCAGAGTGCGGGAAGCCACCTACCCCCAGTCAGAATTTAAAGTGATCCAAAATGCAATATTAATGATTGATGCTGAAGCTCACAGTTTGGCGCTGAGGTTTAATTAGATAAGCATTGCAGCTGTTTTTGGGTGGAGGCAACTTGATAGGACAGAGCTGTTCTGTGACTTCCCATCTACAGGGTATCTATTGAAGCGGAAACAGAAGCAAGCTACTAGAAATGATGATGACTTCTTTTTTTTTTTTTTTCCAGTGCTGAAATGAATCTGATTGTGGGGGAAGAGAGAAGCATTTTGTAATTAAAAAGGTGGGCTTGGATCTTGCATTCATTTCTGGATGAATTTAACATTCATACAAATCTGCTATCTGCAGCCGAGCAAGGATCCGGGAAGCCAGGTGTAAAGAACTGACATTTGTGGCTCTTTGGGCCCACATGCTTTGCAAGCACTGAATCCTCTTGTCTGACACCCACCCTTCCCCTTGTAAGCACGAGTGTCAGGTTGTCTAAGGCTTTGCCTCGGCAGGCAAACCCCTGCAAGAGGCGGCGCTGGGATTGCTTTCTCCCTCTGAAAACTCGTGGAGAATTTAAACTGGGGTCCACAGCATTTCACTTCACTGGGTCAGAGAGACTTTTCACCCTCTCTAATCATGAATTTGGAGTCTTCTGTGCCTCAGGCTGGTGATACACACTGTGTGGTTGGTTAGGCTGCAGCACATGTATGTATGTGATCTCTGGTCACATGAGTTGTTTAAAAAGAATTTATTGAAGCTTGTTATATGTTGAATGGGCAAGACTTTGAGAAGGCATCTGTTTTCAAAGTAGTAAGGAGCTTGGTTTAGTGGAACATGCCTGTAATCCCAGTGACTTAGGAGGCTGAGGCAGGAGGATCACAAGTTCGAGGCCAGCCTCAATAACTTATTGATACCCTAAGCAACTTAGTGAGACCCTGTCTCAAAATAAAAAAATAAAAAAAATAAAAAGGGCTGGGGATGTGACTAAGTGGGAAAAAGCCTGTGGGTTCAATCCCCAGTACTAAAAAAAAAAAAAAAAAAAAAAAAAAAAAAAAGGAGGAGGGTGAGAACGCTGACCATCCAAAGAGATGTTAAATAGGTTTTTAAAACATCTCTATCCAATGAAAAGCAAGCGTAATAGGTGTTTTGTATTTTAAAACGATTCTAATAACCACCCCAAAACATCTATGAAATAAAGTTTTACTTGCTTATTGCTAATAATTACAAATTATGTATGAAGTTCGGGTGAATGCCCAGTATTATTATTTTTGTCACATAAATAAGCTTAATCCGCATTCCCTTAATGATTATAAATCAATTTGTGAAAATTTAAGATAAACCTGACTCTGGGTGTGAGCGAGGAGAGACACATCTTTCAGGAGGCACAGTGACTCTAGGCCATTCCTAGCACTAGGAGGGACGTGAGCTTGGCCGCCTCCCTTCCCTTTGGAGGCACTGAAAGGAGTGGAACAGGAATTAGAACGTGACTCCGGGTGTGGCAGTTTTCTGGCCGTGTCTCTTGGTCATTTTGTTAACTTTGAGCCTCCCTTTCCTCCTTTACGAAGTGGAAGCCGAAGCCCTGGCTGCTCATCTCACAGGGTGATTCTGAGGATCTGCTTGGAGAGAATGAGTCTTCAGTTAGACCTGAGGCTGGGAGCGGACAAGATTCTGTAAAGACACTGTGATAAGTTACTGGTGGCTTCTAGGGACCGCTCCTTGCAGCCCCTGCTACTGAGAATTAACCACTCAAACTTCCCACTCAGCCAGGGCACTGGTGAGTATCTGGCTTTCCCAATCTTTTCGTAAGTAGTAACACTCTTACCCTCTGCCTTATTTGGGGGTGAGGCACATGGGATATGGGGTTATTCACAGATGTAGAAACGAAGCAATCAGATTTTATGCATGACTGAAAGAATCACAAGTCCAAATCTGGACCCAGGACTTCTGATCTGAAGTGGGGGCTCCCTCCTTTCTAGCTGATTGTTCCTGCAGACAGTATGCAAAATAAGTGGAAATGAGAATGTGGGCTACTAAGGCAGGATTGACCGTTATTGCAGAGTACAGATGTCAACAGAGCAGGTGATTCATTAGAGCAGATCAATAAGCTAAACAACAGGGACTCCATGAGATACACTGCAGATGACTGTTTTGTGTATACACGAGAGTTGGTTTTGCTATGGATTTAAAACTAAGTGGAATATACTCCTTTTAGTTGCATACAATACTGATGGTTGATCACTTGCAAGTAATACTTCTGTTCTTGCTCCCTTGATAAAATAATGGATAAACATATGGTTCCTTTGTGCCTCTTCTAATTGACACTGATGGAAAAGCTGACAACAATAAGTAGTGGTGTTATTACAGCATTGAACCAAGATCTCTGAGGATAGAGATGGATCAAAGTGCCTTAAACATTCCCATACATCCTAAAGACCATCAATAAAAATTACAGGATGGATGTAAATTGATGAACCCAACCTGCAGGTATATTGAGTGAAGGTAAGCAAGAATAGAATATTTTGGATAAAGGGAATGGATGGAAAGCAGGAGATGCTAATATAAGTTAACATATAGGAAACATGGAGCTGGAATGTGCAGATAGGCACATTATGTAGAATAATGGTCAGTGGGATGAACGATAACAGCAATTGCTTTGAATATATTGGTGCCTATTCATCTTCCAATCCGACAAAGAGCTTTCCCACCTGCGGTCTCTTTTCTTCCTCTCATGTAGTCTCCTTGGACTCATTGTCCACCCTATGGTGACATTTACCATTTTGGTAGTAATGACCTTACTCAAGCAGCCTCCTGCACGTCACTGTCAAGCACCCTGAACACCACCACAGTGGTGCTAACGTGCCTCTGTTATGTAAAGCACAGGTCTGAATGAGCAGGCTGCAGATGAGAGACACAGGGCAGAGGGCCCACAGTCAAGGACTAAGGCGCCCCAACATTGGCAGGCTACGTAGCCAGAGGGGCAAGAACCGAATCAGGGGAGGGAGGTGGTGCCAGGAAACCCCAGGGAGGGCAGTGTGTCACAGAGGAGGACGTGGCCACTGGCCTGAGATGTCAGTTGGAGCAAGCCATCAGGAGGCCACACGTGAAACTTAAGGACAGTTTTGGTGCAGTGAAGTGGGCAGAAGTCAGATCTCTGGGGGCTGAGGAGGGAGTCGTTGAGTACAGGGGAAACTTGAGTAGGGACAGAATCTCGCCGAGTCTTGGCGGTGATTTTCCACTGATTTCCTCTGGTCTCAGTCCAGACAGGCGGAGAAGGGTTCCCTGCAGAAGGGCCTCCCACCCATCTGGGCTGACGTTGTTTCCAGCGCTCAGTATGGCTCCTGGGCACCGGCAGTCGTGCCGCCAGCCCACCCGGCCGAGGATGCCCACGAGCAGCTGGCTTCTCCAGAGAGGCCACGTCCTGCCATCACCAGAGGCTCTGGGTCCAGTTCTGTGGAAATTTCCAGGCCTCTTCTTCCCCTGGAGCTCTTTCATGATTTTCCATCCCAATTGACAGAAGTTTCTCTGGTCACCGGCCTCTCCACATGGCGCGGCTTCCTTCTGCCTGAGCAGATGTGACGCTGCCCTCCTGGGTCCCCTCTGCTCCCCTCCTGGACACACCCCCTCCCACGCACCCTTACCCTCGCCACCCGGTATTCTCTACCCACTTCCTGGCTCTCACTGAGACCTTTCCAGTGGACGCCTCGTTTGGGTTGGGGACCTCGTTCTCAAAGTCATTTGCAGATCTTACTGCCCACAGCACCTTCTGGTCGCCCCTCTCTCTGGGAGCCCTAGGCCTGACTTCCATCCTCCCTATCTCAGGGATGTACAACCATCCTCCAGTTCCGCTCTTAACTTCTCAGGAGCCTGGTCCTACCTCCCAACAGATCCCCACCTCATCACTGCCCGCTGCCCTGGCTTCCTCCTGCCCGGGCCGCCAGCCGCAGTCTCTTACCAGCTCTTCCCGCCTCCTAGCGCAGCTCTCCATCTCTCCTCCTGCCCTACACTCAATCCTCTGCACGGCCACCAGAGAATCTTTTAAAAACAGCAACCATGGCATGTCCCCACTCAGAACAGCCCCCTTGGGACTCCTCATCACACTGAGACTGAGCCCTACCATGGCAGGGAACCCCCTCTGGGTGGCCTCTGCCCGTTTCTCTGATGTCTCTCCTGCCATGTCCACCTTGCCGGGCTGCTCCTGGCACGCCAGTCTCCCCCACTCCACCCCCAGCTCATGGTCAAGAGCGTCCCTCTCAGGTACAACTTGTGCCTCAATCCGTTCAGCTTCCTGCTCAGGTGTCCCCTCCCCAGAGAGCCCTCCTAGGTCACTTTATCTACAATGGTCCTTCCTTCCCTGTCCTCCCCGCCACGCTCCGTCCTGAGGCTGAGTGTACCCTAGAATCAGTCAGTGTCCTTCCCTTCCTGCATCGGGTGCCGCGAAGGCAGGGATTTGCCTGTGATGCTCACTGCCACATCCTCAGCACCTGGGGCTGAGCTGTGCATGTCTAGGGTCCCGAGTAGACGTGTAGGAGCAAGGTGAGAGCCCTCCCTGACTTCTCCAGTCACTGTGTCTCCGAATCTTAGAGTGGGATGACGTCAGGTTTCCGCTGTCAGAGGGAAGACACAGAATAGCGCTTCCTCCCAGAGCACACCCAGAAGAGGGGACTCTCTTTGCCTCTTCTCAGCATGACTTTCACAGCATGGAGTCCCTCCTGGGTCCAGAGTAGCTCTTTCCAGTCCTGCTCTTGCTACACTTTTGTGCCTGGTGTGACGGCCTCCTTCTTACCTAGGACAGGCCAGTGGATGCCTCTCACCCCCGTTTGGAACGGAGGGGGCTGTTCTCTCTGTCCCCACCCAGGTCAGGGGACAGATGGCGCTCCCCTATGAGGATGGAAGGCAGTTTCCTGCTGGGTGGCCAGGGAGTGTTAATGTTGTGGGCTTCTCCGGCCCCGTTATTCCCCTAAGGGCAGGGACACCTCTCAGCAAGCCCGATGAGCGTGGCTGTCCAGTAACTGGAAGTTTCTCTGAACTTCAATTGTGGGCTCTGAAACGCGGGACTCAGCTCTGGACTGCGGCTGCAAGGCCGAGAAAAGCAGAAAAGGCTTGTGGAGCCACAGAATCATCTTTCCACCCAGCGATGGCCAGGACTGCTCAGCCTCTGGAGCACACGGCCGACACACTGCTCTGGCCCCCTCTCCTGTCCTCCAGATTCTTGCTTTCTTTGGCCCTTTCCAAATGATGAGCCTCCTGCCCTCCCAGCTTCTGGAGTCTCCCTCCACTGCCTGCCCTGCCTGGACCTTGGCGTGGTCACTCCCTCCGCCGCAGAGAGTTGTCCACCGCACGCCCACAGGCACCTCTTCGCGACACCTTGTCCTTCACAGTCCAAACCCACTGTCGAGAATGCCGACTTCTCCTGCACCTGCTTCACTCTGGTTTGCCTCTGGGGTTCACCGCCAGCGATCCCGGCCTGTCTTGTTCACCACGGTCTCTCATCCTCAGAATAATGCTTGACCTACATCAGGTGCTCAGCAGATATTTGTGGAGGAATGCATACATTCTCTTGCTTGAAATGGGCGAATAAACTCTTGTCCGTACCCTTGACGTCCTTGCCTTCCAACTTCTTTCCTATCCTCCCACAGGAAGGCCAGTCTTGGTCAATGGAACCCCCTCAACTGTCCCGTCCCCAGCGCCTGCCTTGGTTCATTCCTGATGCACTTCAATATGGCGCAGGCGTCCGTCCCTTCTCCTGCAGGATCCCAGCCTCGCTGCCCTCTCCCACCTCCTCAGGGGCCTCCCTCCCTCCTACAGCCTTGCTACGGCTTCAGCATCTTTTTGTCTCGCGGGCTCTTTATCAGTGTTTAAAATAAACTATAGTAAAAATCTCTCCAGTATTGGAAAAAAGCAAAGCCAACCTCCAAACCCACCCTCCCACCCATGTTGTTGTTTTAGGTTCTGCCTTACGTTGTTTGTTTCCGTTTTCTGCACATTTTCCATTGAATTCCATCTTGTGGATCCATGCCGTGGCCTCTGCAATCTCATCCCACCCCACTGCACGGAGAGCCCCTCTTCTCTAGGTCCTTCTCAAGCTGGATGACTTTTGGCCTGGGCTCCAGTCAGCGTGGGCCCCGGCCCCGGCCCCCAGCCCCATTCTCTGTGTGGGGGGAGGGGCAAGTGGCCTCCTCCACTTATTAGTGCCATGAGGTTTCTCCTACGAACCGAGTGATATGAATTAAGACCCAAGTTCTCCAAGGCCAGCAAGTGGCCCCTCTTTCCTCCTCTTGTACTTTTGTGGTCACTCTCCATAGATGCCTTTTATTTCTACACCTGAAGCTCGCTGCGTGGTTTGCTGAACCTGTCCCGGGGGGTGATCTCGACTCAGCAGAGACCTAGGAGAGGGTGCAGGCGGTTGTGTCCTCCCCCCACAGGATTCCCACTAAGTCGTGCCCTAGGGGGGCAGTCTCCCCTGGTACCTGATCCACACGTTCTGTGTAACTGCACGGCCGACCCCGGATCTTACTCTTGGGTGGGTGTCCCAGGTAGTCTGCACTCTGCGGGTGTCTCCTGCAAAGAGCAGACGGTCGCAGGTCCCAAGCTGCTGCTCCAGGAGTTTGGACGGAGCTGCTGCAGATGGCAAGGGACAGACAGATGTTTCCAAGGAGCCTGGAGATAAAACGCTGTGTAAGCTCAACTGGACTCCTTTTCAAAGGTTTCTGATTTTCACATTCATTAAGTCTGCTTAGAATGGAAGAAGGGACGAGAGGTGAACATTCGGCAAAGAGGAGGAGTAAAGAGCTGCAGGGAAACCCGGGGTGCAGGTGGGCGGGCCGTGCCAGTTCCATGGGAAAGCACCGTGGTTGGCGCCTTTTGTGGGCACCATGGTCTTGCTGTCTGCTGCGCCATCTCCCCAGGTCCCATTCACTGTGCCAGATCACTGACTTGGCATCCCTCCAGCTTCCTTAGCCTGAAATTATCTTCCTCTTGGGTTCCCCATTGAACTCAGACCTGTTCAAGGCTCAGCTGGAATGCTGCCTCCTCCATGAAGCCTTCTCTGATAGCCGCACCAGCAACCCCACTGGGCTGGGGTGGGTTTCTCCTTCTTGCTTAGCTCCCCCAGCATTTTATTTATATTTTTATTCAGAAGTGGCATGATTCACTTAGTTAAGAGTGCTAACATGGGCAGTATAGAATCAAACAGACTGGGGCTCATTGAAGACATGAGTTAGGCTGTGTGACCTTGGCTGAGTCACTTAACCTCTCCGAATCTCAATTTCCCCATTTGTGGAATGGTGATAATATCCAAATTAGAAGGCTGCAGTGAGGATTGAGTAGAAGAATAGCAAATGTTTTGAGTCCATTCAGACCTCTTATGTCTGCACATCCCTGTGTCCTGCTAGACATTACACCTGGTTGTTTACCTCCCTTGTTAGGTGGGAAGCACTTTGAGGACAGGAACGTGCCCTTGTTAATATAATATGCTCCCGAAGAGCCTCACACAGTGACCAGTGAGTGCTTAATAGAAGTTCAACCGATTAAATCCAATTTCCTCAACCTATCATCTCCCACATTTGCTTACCTCTTAGAGTATCATGAAAGTGGTAATATTTGTATGGAATCCTGGTTCATCTGAAGGGGATTTGAGACCATGGATGTGGGGCTTACTGGAAAATGGGAAATGCCTTTTCTTTATGTGATTATGACAAGGAAAATAAGATTGAGAAATATGTGAAAATATTTTGTATATTACTTTAAAACACTATCTCTTTAAAAAATTAGTAAATCCAGGAGATTTATGGAGGAAGCTATAAAAAATAAAATTCAAAGTAAGTTTAAGAGATTTTGAAATCATTGCACTTTTTTAACCTCCATAAAATATTTACAAACATTAACAACACCCAGGACACTGGGCGTCTGTTCTGGGAAACGCTAATTAGGAAGAGCAGCTCTAGTCAATGCTTAGCTGAGTTCAGACTGTTTTCCAGGTGAAGAGACTGACGGACTCACAGGTGGGGCCACAGGTGGGGTCACACAGGTGTCCGAGCTGCAGCTCTAATTAGCACAGCACCCAGATGGAGCCCAGTGGCTTGGCTGGCGTCTGCATAGCCCTGCCCAAGTATGTCTTGACTTTCGGCGAGTCCAATTTCCAGTCTTCAGGTTGGAGGGGACGTCGGTCACTGACAAGGCACTTTTTGCTAAGACTCAGGAGCAGCCTAACAAGGTCACTGGCTTGTTTTGGACGTGGCTCCTGTTTATAGCTCTGGGTTTCCAGTTCTGCGAGCATGGAGGTTGGCCCACTTGCTGTATGTTCTGGAATGACTTTGAAGGATACTGTTGATTACAAGGGACCCGCTGCCTGCCAAGGCTGTGCTCCAGGAGAGGAGCCGGAAGGGAAGCAGAGAGGCGCAACCTCGGGGACCCGGAGTCAGACATGTGGCCATCTGCTCTGGCTTCCACCTTGCCCGTGGGCGGCTGTTAGTGCGGGGCTATTTTTGCAGGTGCACATTTGTGCAGGTTTGTCCTCCACTCGTCTTTCTGGGCTCATTTGGAAGCGCTCGAGGTGATCCAGGGAGCCCCGAGGCTCCGTGAGGACTGCGGGATGGCTCGGTGCCTGGCATGGCAGAGACCTGCCCCCACATCCTGGTGCTTTTCCACATCGGAGGAGGGGAAGGGCCCCCTGGTGCCAGCGTGGCCAGATGAAAGATGCTAGAAGCCACACGGGGCGACTTGAAAGACAGCTTCAGATATGTCAAAGTGAAGTCCTTGGGGTGACACCACCCCAGAAATACTGAGCGTGATTAGAATCACAGCAACTTGCATCTGTGTGTGGGCACAGATTATGTGGTTGTATGCAACATCCAAGGCACCTGGGCGTCAGTGAAACTTCTCTTCTGGTTACGGCTCCACTTTGCTTCTGGAAGTTTCCATTCAGAGGGAAGCTCAGGTCTGAAGACCTCAAGCATTTGCTCTCTTGCATGTATTTTTGTCATTTTTTTAATGTTAAACACAACATGATTATTTACCCCTCAGCGTGAATCCAGCACTCTGGTAAGAGCTGCGACCCAGGGCTAGATAGAACAGCCCCTGCCCCAGGACCTACCCAGCCCAGCAGGGGACACATCCCAGTCCACGGGTTCACAGTGTGGACGGTGGTATGAGGAAGGGCCTGGGGTGCGGGCAGAGAGAGAAGAGGGGATGCAGTCAGCCTGAGCTTCGGGAGACTCACACAGGTGGCATGTGTGTGCCCGCTTCCTGTCCTAGAAATCAGTGATGTGCTTAGGAGGGCCAGCTCATGGGAGGAAAGGAATGGCATCCCCAGAAGACAGAGCAGCATGCGCAGAGGTGCCGAGGTGGGTAACGGCCTGGCCCATTCTAAGATGCAGGGGACAGACCTGAGATAAAGCTGGAGGACAGGTTGGACACACAGATTCCTAGAGGACAATGATGAGTTGGCCACACTGAGTGAGTGGCAGTGGGGTTGTGCTTGGACTTGACAGCCGTCAGCTCGGTGGCAACGCAGACAGAAAGCAAAGGATGTCACCGTCAGAGGCGTCAGGACACAGGGAGGGTGGGACCTGGACGGTGGGCGTGGCGCAGGGTGAGAGGATGGAGTTGAGGCTGTCGGGGAGGCAGGGTGGACGGCTGCAGGAGAGGCTCAGCAGGAGTGAAGGAGGACGCTGGAGTTAGGACAGATAGGGATTCAGGAAGCAGAAGGGGTCTGGGCTGAGGGCCCAGAAGAACCCCGCGGGGCCCCTGGAGCCAAACGCCTCAAAATCTACTTTCTTCAGGACAGAACTCAGCCCCCCCCCCCGGGACCCCGCATTTTCTGTCCTTTGGGAGCCCACCGACCTGCCCTCCTGGCCTCCGCCTCCGCCTCCTCCTCCACACCCCGGCTGGTCCCCTGCCCCCTCACTTCCCTCATCTCGGCCCATTTCAGGTCCATCCCACTGCACTCCCGTGCACCCCGCTTCACTGAATGCCCGAGCACGGTGTGGCTTGCCTGTCTGCTTCCCTCACTGACCCATGGGGTGGACGTGAACGTGCCTGGCGGATGGAGAAGTGGACCTGCAGGAGGGCCCTGGAGGACGTGCTCACAGAAAAAGAGCACAGTCAGGTGCGTGGGCGCGGTGGGAGGCCCCTCTGTTCACACACGGCTCCCTCAAGGCTCTGGCCCTTTGCTCCGGCCAGGAATCCTGCAGGTCTGGGTAGGCCTGCTGCCAGGGTGCACCTAGCAGATGTCCTTCCTGGGGGTCAGTGGGCTGCCCCGACCTCATCTGACGACACCTTCCCACATGGCTCTTCTTCTTTTCCACCTCTGAGGCACCTGCACTGTGCCGTCTCAGGAAGAGGAACCTCTGGCTCTTGGTCTTCAAGTCCTCCGCCCAGGAGGGGCCAGTGCTGCACTTCCAGGGGTGACTGGCACCTTGGCCTGGACTGTGGCCAGGGGGCTCGCCGCCTCCATCACCTGAGGTTTTCACTCATGCACTTGACCTTGGTATCCACATAGGAGGCTCTGGGAAGTTCATAACACGGTCAAGAAGTTCTAAGCTTGACAGAGGCTTCTCTTTATTCTTTCAGTCCTAATACCCAGCTTATAATAGATGCTCAGTGAACATGTTATTTTATAGGTGTGTGAATAGAGACCTTTCCTTGAAATCGTACATAGCAATAATTGTGTATGCTTCCATGAATAAATAATGCAGTATTATTTTCACTGCAGTTTACTGGGGTGTTTCGGGAGGACCTACAGGCACTATTCCAGGAATTGCACACACCCTACTTGTAACCCTCTCAATGCCTTCGTTACCGGTGCCCGTTCCTGTTTTAGGCTTGTATTTAGCCAGGCTTCATGAGGTCCTTCCTGTCCAAGACATACCCAAAGTGTCCTTCCTGGGGTTTGAATGTGTTTATTTAAGCATCCATGCTCTTTCAGGAACGCCTCTAGCCCCAAAGATCTTTGACAAAGATGCCCACAAGTGGGTCAGCAGCTGCACACTCTCCTGGTGCTCCTCTATGCTTTATGCCAGATGCACCACCAGCCCGAGGTGTGCATCCAAGCCCACACACACACACACACACACACACACTTCCTTGACCTCACTCATGCTCCATTGGGAATGGGCCCTCACCATGTGGTAAGATGTCTGGATCTTTCTTTCTTCCGAGCTGTGTGTGTGTGTGTGTGTGTGTGTGTGTGCGTGTGTGTGTGTGTGTGTGCACGCGCGCGCACACATGTGTGCACTTTTCTGTCTTATTCTAGTTTTTTTGGTTATTCAATTATCTTAAGAAAGTTTCATCCATGTGAAAAGACACAGAAAGGAATAAAAAAGAGGGAATCTCATGAAAGTCAAGGGGAGACCAATAAAGTAGAGGACAGGGATCAAGGGGGCGGAGGGGGGTCTGGGGAAACAAAATCCACCAAGTTATGCTGTGTCCATGGAGGATTGTCCTACAGTGAGTCCTGCTTTTGCTTTTTGTTTTGATTCGTTGGCGCTGGGGATTGAACCCAGAGGTGCTTAACCATGAGCAACATCCCCAGCCCCCTTTAACTTTTTTTAAATTTTATTTTGAGACAGGGTCTCCCTTAGTTGCTTAGGGCCTCATTAAATTGCTAGGGTTGGTCTCAGATTTGCAATCCTCCTGCTCAGCCTCCTGAGCCCCTGGGATTACGGGAGTGCTCTACCAAGCCTGGCTGGATCCTGTTTTTACATAAATGATAATGCACTAATTGAAGGTTTGGCTTATGTTATGTCCATGTACAAATATGCATAATGTATCCCACTGTTATGTATAACTATGATGCACCAATAAAAAATAAAATTAAGAAAAAAGAAGCACCGATGGGCCAGTGAAAGGTTAGCAAGTCACCTTTGGCTGCTCTCGAGTCGTCAGCTAACTTTGAAGACAGGAACGTTGGCTCCCCTCCACAAAGCGCTCAGTGTCAAGTTCTCTCCCTAAGGCAGGACTCTGTGCGCGTCTCCTCCATGCCCCTCTTTCTGGCCTTCCTTCCATATTTTGCAACTGCTGGGACTTTGATATTGGGATGCCCCTGGAGACCTGTGACTGGGAACCACTGAGCCATTGAATTGTGAGACGGGGCAGACCCTGGGACGGAGCGGGGTAAGATCAGGATGAGGGCAAGGAGATGACTCTATTCCAAGAGCAGTCACCACGACCCATCCTCACCAGCCGTGCTGGGCCTGGTCCTCCCGCAGCTGCCACGCTCGTCCTTGTCCCCGCTGCTCAGACGTGTCACCTCTCCCATCAACCCCCCTGGTGTGCTCTAGCCGTCCCCTGAGCCGTCTCCCTGGGTTCAAAACCTTGCTGCTCTCAGGAGTCTTTCCACCTCCTCCAACTCAGCTTCACATTAGGATGATGTCCCCGGCCCAGAGTCTTCAGTCCCTTAGGAATCCAAGGGAAAACAGCAACCACCTCCAGCTGGATTTCTGGAGGCTGTTCTCTTTGCCTCCAAATCCCTTCCTGGGTCTTCCAGGCCCCCAGCTCCATTTTTCAAGGATTACCGGATGAAATCTCCAAAGCCTTTTTCATTTAGCAGAATGATACATTGTATTCTGTGCATTAATTGTTAGACTTTTAAAGGAGGTAACATGCACACAACATTTAATATATTACATGTTTTAAGTAATGGTAAGCACCTTTACATTGCTGTGAGACTCAACTCCAGAATTCTTTTTCATCTTATAAAACTGAAACTGCCCCTATTACACAAAACTTCTGATCCCCCTGCCAGTCCCTGGCAACCATCATTCTGCCTTTGGTGTCTATGAATTTCATTACTCTTTGTACTTCATGGGTTAGTGTGTTTTGCGTAGCTATAACAAAATACACGGGCTTGGAACTTTATGCAGAAGAAAAGGTTTATTTAGCTCACAGTTCTGGAGGTTCAAGAGGCATGGTGCCAGCATCTTCCTGGCTCTGATGCGGGCCGCATGGTGAATAGCATCATGATGGAGGGAGTGGTTGTGGAAGAGTTTGGATGGGGAATCAGGAAGCCAGGACTGCAGGGGGATCAGGCTGTCTCTTCATCTGACAGGCTGCTGTCAGGGGAGCTAAGTCGCTCCCTACTGTGGGACAACACTGGTCTGTTCTGGGGTGGGGCTTCCATGACCTAATTCTCTTCCCCAAGGCCCCATCTCTTAAAGACTGGGCCACCTCAACACTGCCACACTGGGGAACAGGCTTGCAGCACATGAGCCTCCGCAGGGAAATCACGCCCAAACCAAAGCAGTCAGCAGAATCACGTGTTTGTCTTTTTCAGAATTCTTTTCTCGGTGAAGCTGAATAATCTGCATTGTACGTTGATACCAAATTACTCATTATTTGATGGACACTTGAGTTGTTTCCACCTTTGGTTTTTGTGAATGGTGCTGATATTTTCATGTGTCTAAAACATCTCACTTAAAGAACTTGCTTTCAAATATTTTTGATTCATCTGAATCTATTTAAATTGAAAACCACCGTTTTGATACTGGTTGGAGAATGTTTACGTAGAATGTGAGGAGAGCAACTAGAGGGGTTTTTCAAGTGATCCACAGTAAGGGATCAATGACTAATATTAAGATGGGTTGTGGACAGAACACACTTATTCATCCTAATAAATGACTATATTTCATAATGAACTGAGCAATATTTATTGAACCATTCAGTTCAAACCTCTGAAGCAGCAGGTGAGAGATTAATCTGAAAAATTGTGGAGTGTGGTTAGTTGAGTAAGTATACTTCAGGTTCAAGTGTTTGGGGTCATAATCTTCATTTTGTGGAACTTATTGTAGTTTTATGGTGTCAAAATAACTTTTTGGGTAGAAACCATGGAAGCACAAGTGTGCGCGAGTGCACGTGTGTCTGTGCGTGCACGTGTGTCTGTGCGTGCATGTGTGTCCGTGCGTGCACGCCACCAGCTTGCTAGGAGAGAAGTCTGCATCCCATCCTTACTAAGAGAAGTCCTCCCGGGACTCAGCCTCTCCCGTTTCCCTCCTGGGTTGTCTATGTGCATGGAGTCCTGGGGAACTGGGCTGGTGGGCGCCTATGACACAGAACCTAGCCTAAATGTGCCCCTGCTCCAGTTCACACACATCTTACCCTTGACCTTTAAGCTCTCTGACTTGAGAAAAGATGAGCCCAAGGAAAGCACAGCAAGGGTGAGTCTTGTCTGCCAAGACCCCCAGCAGAGCTCTCCTTCCCACCTCTTGGCGGAGGCAGCTTCAGGCCTTCTCCAGGGACAGAGATATTCCCCCCTCGCCCCCCCCCCTCCGCCACACCTCCGCTTGGTTTTGTGCATCTCTGGCCCCATCTTAAGCTGCAGCACCCAGCACAGTAGCTCTCTGTCCTTGACCTTGATGTTGCATGCACCTTGTCTGGGTGTGCCTGCATGAGCCTTTGTCCTCACTGTTCTCACCTTGTGCCACTTGGGCCACAGTGGAGCCCTTCCCTGTCCTATGTGACCATCTTTTCCCCATGGAGTGTACCTTGTGCAGCACAGAATTTGCAAATGAAAGCGCTTCCTATTCAGCCAGCGCTGCAGTTTGGCATTTTGGGAGTAGTTCTTCAATTCCTCCATAGCAGATGCTGTTTCTTGAGATGATTTTGGTAGGCAAGAGGAGACTAGTGTTAAAAAAAAAAAAAAACTGAAGAAAAGTCATGCAATTGCTGTCGTCCCTCACTTGTTATCGTTTATATCTCTGTCTGGTAAATTCAATTGAAAAAGAGCTGATCTATCCACTCTTGCTTCTAACAGAGTCGCAGAGTTTCTCACATTAGAGCCAGTCTGAAAAACCCAATCAATATCTGCTGAAAGGGCGAATTAGAGACACCATTCTCTTCTGAAAGTTGAAGGCCCCTTGGGACTGGACTGGAAATCGAGCTTCCTTCTCTCTGCCCTGCCTCCTTTCCCAGGCTCTTGTCTGATTGCCATCTCACCATGCCTCTTGAGCCCCAACCTCCACGGTCCTTTCGTTTTTCTGGGCTTTCTGCTTGGGATCCAGGATTTGGACTTGTCCCCTCATCCTTACTGTTACTCATAGCAGGTCAGAGAAATCGAAACAACAACAAAATTCAGAGTCGAGCTTCTATTGTGGATGCCTCTCCTCCACACAGGGCAAGGTGGACATTGATAGAACACTCTGGGGGAATGTTTAAAGGGTTCTTTCTGCGCAGTTCTTCCCAAAATAACCCAGAAACTTTTTCACTACTCTATCTTAGTTTCTAGAATTTCTGTTGGAGGATTTCAACTGATGATGAGGCCACAGTTTTTGAGATAAACTCATTAAAATGCATGAGGAGACTGCGGGAGATTGTCCCACGGTGGCTGATGTTACACAGTGGACAGATGAGAGGCACCTGTTCTGGGTTCTGTTTATCCTTTCCAGTCTCTAAGCTGCCGAATCAACAAGACTCCATGTGGGGTCTGCGTGGAAATGACCAGCGTGTTTCCTGTGCTGTCTAACACAGTGGTGTGTCCCAGCCTGACTGGTTCAGAAGCTTTGCACAGGAAATTGCAAACTTTTCAATACGCCATTCGTAATGGAGTGAAATGAGAGAAAAGTCAAGCTCATGGTGTGTGTGTGTGTAGGGGGGTGTGTGTACAAAAATAAACCTACTTCGATCTTTACCGATACCTACTGCTATTCTTCCTCATGGATATAAAAGCTGAAGGGGTGAGAATTGTCAGTATTTGTTTGACATTAAGTGACGGAGGTGGGATGTGTACTGAGGATCTCCAGTTGCAAAACCCATATTCTTTCCCTCTCCCTCATGCTGTTCACTTGGTAGTAAAAACAATGATTATCAATCAGTGCCCTGTCCCTCGTTTCTCTCAGACAATGCTTGGTTGATAATAGTTGCCTAAACAGTTGTTAATTTCATTCCTCCCCTTCCCTTCTTTGCCTATCTGGCCAATTTTCATTGCCATAAGCATTTGCAGACTCTCACAATTCCCTAAAGAGTTCAAACTAGTTCTGTGTATGAGCAGAATATAGAATCTGTCACAATGTTGGCCACCCTGAAATTATGTTTTTATACACTATGCTTTTCAAATTGGGGCCAATCAACTTGTCATTCACTGAACCGCTTTCAGCAGAGATTATGCTGACACATGGGGATGCATATGTCACACTTATAGGGAAAGTTTTAAAATATGATCATTCCACTGGCATCGATTCAAGCCCTGGGTTATTTAGATGCACTGAGCGTGGCTCTTGTGGAACATCTTGGCGACATAAGATCCTCTCCTGGCTTTTCCTCCAATGAGGAAATTAAAAAATTTTTTTTCATCCTTATGATAAATTAGGAAAAATCATTAAGTATACTGTGGATATTGGAAACATGACTCCATATTTAATCAATCACGATCCCAGTTTATCAGATTCTGTCTTGCCTGCCACCTGATGTTCAGGACTGGGTTTTCTGCCATGGTAAATTGGGCAGGGAGCCCTTGACTGAGGGCCTTTTAGATAAAATGTTGGGTCACTGGTTATTTTTCTTGGAAATAGAACCAGCAGGAGAATTTAGCTTCACTGTGGAGTTTCTCATTCTGAAGGAGTCTGGGCGATGGCTGTGGAGGGGTACAGAGTGCTGGGATGAGCACTCTATCAGGAGCTTGTATCTCAGCCAAAGAACGTCCGCTGAGCACACTGGTGTGTCCTTGACCTTTCCTCTTAAGTTGACAACTTAAACTGGCCTAAAGTTGATCTCCCCTCTCTCTTCCCCAAACCCGTCTCTCATTTTATCTCCCTTGGAGCTTGGCAATGTCAAGCTTCCAGTTGCTCAGGCCAGAACCCGATTCCTCTTCTCTCCCATCAGCAGGTTCTGTTGACTTTGACCTCACAGGCCCCCAGCACCCCAATTTGGAGCACTTCTTGCCTTCATTGCTGACACACTGGCCCAGGGAAACACCGTCAAAAGCCTGGATTTCTGCAGTGCACCCTAGTGGAGCTCCTGTTCCATCCCATCCTAGATCTGCCCCCTCTTCTGTCAAACTCTCCCCTGGCTCATCTCCCTCCGAATGAAGGCCACTGGTCTTTCCAGTGATCCACAGGCAGCTTAGCCCCTCTCCCTCTCTCCCTCCACTGCAGCCCCACGGCTCTCTTGATCTTCCTCGCAGCCACAGTTGGACATCAGCCTGAGTCTGGGTTCCTTACCTACATCCTCTTACTGTCCTCATCTAATATCTATTGACCCTTTTCCAAAAATCATCTCGACGCCTTCTGGAGAAAGAGTAAGCCACCCAATCAGTCAGGGAGGCGAGTCAGTGGCACTTCCAAAGCATGGGCTTGCTGGGTTCCTTCACCACCATTCCCAGTGTCACAACCCCTCCCCTCCCACTGGGTTACCAAGCCTTACAGCTCTGCCTGGGCACCGGCCAGAGACATCTGCAGTTCTCCCTCCTCTTCCTTCACACGCCCTCCTCTCCACAGGCCTACCCTGACCCCCCGATTTTAAACTGCAAAACCTGCATATTTTTCTGTTAGAGTGTAAGCTCCATGAGAGCAGAAATATTTTTCTTTTTGTAAAGTGACATATTCCCAAGAACTTGGTGCCTGGCAACAGTAGGCACTCTTCACAAATTAGTTTAATGAATAAGGAAGCTGGAAAGTCCAGGTTCTGGGCCTGGGTTGGACATTGGACACTGGACCCTTGGCCCTCCTGAAGTCTGGTTTCTTCACACATGGAGAGACGGAGGCTGCGTCTCCTGCTTCCTGACTTTGGGGCGACTTGAACACTGTCATGAAAACGTGCCAGGAAACAGAGGTCACTGTGCAAGTGTGATGTGGCACACCCGGCAGAGGTCATGGGGGGCCCACGGGGCTTGTGCCAGCCCTGCAGTGCCCTGGCAGACAACCCACGGGCTCGGGGTTATTCCTCTGAGAAACCATCACTGCAACTAGCTCGGGGCTGACGTTTAGCTGCCGTCTGACGGGGCCAGGAACAACATGGACTCTGGGAGTGAGTGACCAGAAGGAAGCGCTGACTCCGTGAGCTGTTTAAAATCACGCGTCCAATCCTTGTGGGTGCTGGGACTCAATGATGCGATTGAGCTCTCCAGTTAAACAGCATCACTACCTCAGGGTCTGAGATTTCTACCTAAGCTCTTTATTAAAAACACTTGCATCAGAATCACTTGTCAGTTTCTCAGGCTGGTGATTTGCGATTAGAGTTGACACGCGGATGCATGGAATTGCGAGACTTCTATTTTAGAGTGTCCTTCCTCCTTTTTAAAGAGTGTCCTTCCTTTAGGCATGATCATAGAGACCTTTGTTCATCCTAACTAAGATTTGCATGCCACACAGGGACACACTTTTAATTTTACTTGCAAAAGTAGTAGACATTCGGCTGTGAGTATAAGCTTTTTTTCTAGGAGAGAGAGAAGGGATTTTTCCTCATTCTTCATTCAACAGCTAGGACGCATGTCTACTCTGTGCCGAAGGCTGTGATAAGAGATGGAGCCACTGCAGCTCACAGATGCCTGCAGGCCTCTCCTCACTCATGAAGTAGACAGAAGAGTGGGAGAGACAGATCAAACGGACATCAAACACAAAAGACTTGAAAGGGGCTTAATGTTATGCAGGAAAGGCAGAGTTCTGGCTGGGGAGGGGAGGGCTTGCAGGTCTTCCCAAGAGAGGTAACCTCTCACCTGGGGCCTGAGGGAATCGTCCAGGCAGGGCTGGGTGCTTGTGGGCTGGATGAGTACTCTGGAGGGTCAAAGAGTATATGTGAGAATCCTGGAGAGAGGATTGAGGAAGACCAATCTGTAGAAGAACCCTAAACTGTAGAGGGCCGGATCTTGAGAGGACCTGAGGATGCGTGAAGAGTTTGGGAATATTGGAGGAGTAAGAGGACTCCACTGAAACTGTTAAAGCAAGAGAGTGACATGATTGGCTCTGGTTAAAGTCACCCTGGCTGGGAGTGGGTGGGGATGGGTGGCAGCCATGGGGAGGGACCTGCCCTTGTCCAGATAAAAATGAGTGTTAATTTGTGATGGTCTTGGGGGTTACTGGGAGTGAACAAGCTGAGAAAAGAACCCGCTGGACACACATTTTGGAAGTAGAACTGACCAGCCTTGCAGCTAGGTACCGAGTGTTATTCAGAAGCTGTTGAGCTGACTTTTGGAACAGTGGTCAAAAGACTCTTTACATGGATGCCCGGAGGAGCACCAGGAAGGAGTCCACACTCAGGTCTAGTGATGATGGTCATGAACTCAGAGCTGTGTGGTGACCATAGGACAGAGGCCTGAGATCTAACTGCATGGGTCACTTGCTGTGCAGCTCATGAGATGGTGCTTACATACCCTGCCTGCCCACTGCCACCCTTGGATTGTTTCTGCAGAGTGATTATCTTCTCTGTGTCAAAATGGGCTCATTCTTTGTTCTCAGAGAATCCACAGAGAGCTGCGAACACCTCCAGTATTCTGGAATATGGATCTGTAAAAATAAGTAAACACTTTCTCATCAGAGTAATACATGCACATAAACTAAAACAAGAGACAGCGTATGGGAAGATTTATAATAAGAAGCTGTAGTTTCCTACCACAGATTTCCCCTCCCCACATGTCCTAGTCACCAGGCTACCTGCTTGTATCTCTTTTAACAGTCTTTAGGGGTGACTTCATCTCTGTAATGACACCACCTTAATACTATATCCAGGACCATCAGTATTTTTTATCGAGATGAAATTCACACAAATTACAATAAGCCTTTTTTAAGTATGCAGGTCAGGGGCAGGCCATTCACTGGTTGATAGACATTTGAGTGACGTTCACCTCTTGGCTCTTGTTCCTGTGATTTTCATTGCTCTAGGGTAAATGCTTAGGATTGAGATTGCTGAATCCTAGATAATTCTGTGTTTAACTTCTTAAGAAACTGTTACACTGTTTTCCACAGTGGCTGCACCAGTTTTCATTCTCACTAGCAGCCCATGAAGGTATCTGTTTCTGAACATTCTTGCTAAGACTTATTTTCTGTTTGTTTTAATACAAACCATCTCTGCGTGGGTCAAGTGGTAGCTTATTGTGGTTTTGATTTTCTTTAATGACCAATTAAGTTGAACATCTTTTCATGTGCCCAGCAGCCATTTATATAACTTTTTGGAGAAATGTTGCTTTGCATGGATTGCACATTCTTAATCGATTATATATATATTTTTATGGTTAAATAATATTCTATTGTGTGTATATACCACATTTTCCTTATTTATTCATCTGTCGATGGGCATCTAGGTGGATTCACTATCTTAGCCGTTGTGAGTAATATAGTAATAAACATGGGCATACAGTTATCTTCTGATATGTTAGTATCATTTATTTTTGTAGTTTCTGCTTTTATTTGGTTGTTGTTTTACTTAGGGCTCAAATCTAAGAATCATTGCCAAATCTGAGACCATGAATATTTACCCCTATGTTTCCTTCTAATAACTTTAGCTTTTATTTTAGTTTTAGTTTTTTGGTTCTGGGGATTAAACCCAGGGGCGGTTAATTACTGAGCTTCATCCCCAGCCCCTTTTGTAAATTTTTAAATTTTGAAATAGGGTTTTGATGAGGCTAGCTTTGAATTTGCAATCCTCCTGCCTCAGTTTCCCAAGTCATAGAGCTCACAGGTGTGTGCCACCATACCTGGCTTAGCTTTTATACTTTGATCCATTTGGAAGTTAGTTTTTGTCTATGGGTTGAGGTAGTAGCAAAACTTGAATATTTTGCATATGGTTATACAGTTGACACAGAACCATTTGTTGAAGAGACTATTCTTATCTATTGATTGCTTTTTGGCATTCTTGTCAAAATGAATTGGCCATAGATATAGATAGGGTTTAATCTCTGCACTAACAATGATTCTATTGTTTCCTCTATTCGTATGCCAGTATCACATGATTACCATGACTTTGTAAAACTTGAAATTTTGAACAGAATTGCATTGAATCTATAGATCCCTTTGGAGAGTATTGCAATCTTACAATTATTAATACATTAAGTCCCAAGTTTCCAATCATGTGGATATTTTAATGACATTGACCCAGGTGCATTCCAACACAGATTAGAAACCATAATTTAGAGTACTTTTTATCTTAATCATGTAATTGTACTCTATATTATATACTCCAAGTGTTCACAGTTGTTTGGAGGCAGTGGGACAAAATGGGTTAAGTCCTTCAATCCATGAACGCGGGATTTCAATATGGTTAAATTTTTTTTAAATTTTTTTGAACAATAATTTTTAGGTCCAGTGGACAAGTCTTTCATCTCATTGGTTAAATTTCTTTCTGGGTATTTTACTCTTTGGATGTTATTGTAAGTAGAATTGGTTCCTTAAACTTTCTTTTTCAAATCCTTTACTTATGGATGCATTAAGTCATATATTCTCTAAAGTTTTATGAAATGTGGCCTCTCACCGGCCACGAATCTCTCCTGCTTGCCACATTGAAACCCTAAGAAGTTATGAGGTTCTAAAAGGCATGGAATTCCCAGTAACATTCCTATAAGGGGCCACAGTGGAGGGAAAGACTAAATAAAATGGGTATAATGAGTGTGTACTTTGTACTGAGACCTATTTTAGAAAATGAGTATATTTGGTTTCATTTAAAACTTTCAATAAAACTTTTAAGTAAATATTATTTATCTTCCACTATGGATTCTTAAATGAATTTTTAAAATTTAATTAAATTCACAAAGTTATTTACTCATTTAGGTCCAGAATGAGAATCCAGGTCTGCCTGATACCAAAGCTCATGGTCTTTCCAGGCCAACGCCCACTGACCTTGGCTACCACAGAGTGTTAAGTGATGACAATAAGAAACGTCCAGGTAAGCCCAAATTACTATTGTCTTCCATATTGTTATTGGCACTTTATAGGTGTACATAGGGGTGGGATTTGATATTACATATTCGTACACGCACACAATATAATAGTATAATTTGGCCCATGTCCAAATTATGATTTTTTCCAAAAATATTTTGGCTTTACTCAGATGTGGGACTTCGCAGGCGGACTTCTCACTGACTGCTGATTTGGGTCTGTCCTCTTCCCAAAGGTTTTATTCTTGGCATTTTCTGTAGCTTCTTGAGGATTCACAGGAAGTGAGTGTGTGTCTGCTAATATCCAGAACACTGATGTCTACTGTGTTAGCACCTTTTCCACCGCTGTGACGAGAAGGCCCACCCAGAACAACTTTAGGAGAGGAAAAGTTTATTTGAGGGCTCACAGCTTCAGAGGTCGGTGTCCACGGACAGGGGCTCCACTCCTCAGGGCTCCAGGTGAGGCTGAATATCATGGCCGAAAAGCTTGCAGAGGAGAGCGGCTCACATGATGATCAGACAGGAGAGAGAGAGAGAGAGAGAGAGAGAGAGAGAGAGAGAGAGAGTGAGTTTGATTTTGTCCTCCAGTGGGGCATTTTGATTGTTGCTATTTTGTTTCTTTCTGGGAGCACGTAAATTTCTGATCCAGGTGCCTTTTGAAGACACTGTCTCCTAAATCTCTCAACACCCCTTTGCCTTCCACCCACCACTGTCACCTCCCCACAGTGCCCCCACACAGTGACAGCCGCGGAATCAAAACCGTCCACTGCATCTTTCCCATCTTCCCACTCATGCAGTCACAAAAAAGAGACATTACCATAGCCTAGAGGGAGACGTTCCTCCCGACAGCCTGTGTCCCGATGTTCCTGAAGTTTACACTGATCCACAAAATCACTGGGGAGGCTGCCCAGACCTGGAGCTCTCCGGAGCTCCTGAGCTCAGCCCCACCTTCCACTTTTGCTCTTTGCATTATTCCAGTGACAGATACTCTGAGTTTTCACCCACCTGAATGACTCGAGAGAAAAGAACAGGAATTTACTGTAGACAGGGTGACAGCCCACCTACAGGTCTGAGAGAAAATATCACAAACATCAATGAAAGATTGTATCTGGATTATACCAAACCAAACCAAACCCGCTTAGAGCTAAAAAATAAGACAACAGATGAGCCCCAAACAGAATGGGGAGAAGACCTAGAAAGTTCACAAATGAAGATGTAGAAATGACTAATAAGCCCTAAAAAAGATGCTCATCCTTGTTAACCAGGGGCACCTGAATTAAAACCAAAAAGAGATACCCTGCAGACTCAATAAATATCAATGATTAAAAAGACTGAAAGTGCTCATTGTTGGCCAGGATGGAACAACTAGAAGGTCCTAATGGTTTATGGAAATGGAAACGGAAGAGCCAAGTTGGAAACAGATTGGTACTTTCTTTTTTTTAATATATTTTTTAATATCTTTATTTTGTTTTTTTATTTGCTTTTATGTGGTGCTGAGGATCGAATCCAGTGCCTCTCATGTGCAAGACAAGCGCTCTGCCACTGAGCCACAGCCCCAGGCCAGTTTGGTACTTCATTAAAAAGTTGAACATACACTAATGGTTCACTTGACCCCATTCGACTCTCTTGGTGCCTGAGAAAAATGAAAGCCATGTCCAGGCAAAGACTTGCATATGAATGTCATCGTAGCTTTATTTGTAATGGCTCTAAATGGAAATGGTCCATATGTTCATTGACAGGAAAATGGATAAATAATGTGGTATATCCATACAAGGGAATATCATTCAGCAATAAAAATGGCACTGTACACATAACATGGGTGAGTCCTAAAATCATTATGCTGACTACATACTATGTAGTTCCATTTACATAAAATTATAGAAATATTAAAACAGATTTATGTAGTGACAGAAAGAAGATCTTTGGTTGACTAGGGACTGTGGAGGTGGAGAGGGAGGAATTGATTTCGAAGAAATCTCTCCAGGGTGGGTGGGAGCCAAAAGGTTCCAGGTCCTGGTTGAATTATCTCTGGGTGTATATGACAAAATTCACTAAATTATGTATCCAAATATATGCAATTCTTGTTATATTAATTGTGTTCATAAATTAGTAAAAAATTACTTTGAAATTAGCAAAAATATTGATTTAAAAAAATAAGGTAGCTATTGGAGTAACCAGGAGTAAGAACATGAGGGATTGAAAGTGGGAAGTGATAGTTGGGAAAGAGAAATGGACCGCACTTCAGAATCACTTTGAAAGAAGTATTGGCAGGACTGTTGCATAGATGAACAGGGCTATTCAAAAATCCAAAATGCACTGTAAGTTTGGAGCCATAGTGATTAAGGGAGTCGAAACCCCTACAAAAGGTATTATGATGAATGGAATACATACGATAAAAATAAATGTTTTTGGGGGAAGCTTGGATTAACAACTAGCTTTTAAAAATAAGGCTCTACCCAAAGCCAGAAAAGGAAATCCCTCAATGTTCTTTTCGTCATTAAGGACAGCTTTTGACCGACTATGTTTAAGGGCCAAGAGTGTCAAGATTCCCTTAATGGATGATTCAGCATCTCCTACAAAATGACCATCTCGGTCATTCCAAGTTTGCCTTGGGAAACACAAAAATTCAATAACTCAGCATGAGCCACCTGTCATCTCTGCATACCTCCAGGAAAACAGGTGGCAGGCCCAGAACCACCAGGCCACGTGTTTTTAGTGGGGTGGAGAATTATGCAGTTGTGGGTGAATTTGGAGACAAAATATCCTATTTACATTGCCTCTCTAATTTTCTTTCAGAATGTTGTATTTGGGGAGTGCATATTATAAATATGAATAACAAGCACCTTAAAACATGCCGACACGAAAGCAATCAGCAATAAGGTGCCTGTGCACAAGGAGCGGATAACACGTCATACGTGAAAAACGACTTACGCAGGTGACTTAGGGGGTAGCTAAACAGAATTATTACTTTGAATCAACATAAGAAATTTGCTATCAGTAGCTCATTTACCTCCTACCTAATTTTTTCTGTATGATGAGCATGGCAGTAATCACCTGTTATGGTTTGGGTGTGAGGTGTCCCCCAAAAGCTCACATGTGAGATAACCCAAGAAGGTTCAGGGAAGAATGATGGAGTTGTGAGAGCCTTAACCCAATCAGGGCATCAGTCACCTGATGGGATTGAGTGGTAACTGAAGGCAGGTGGGGTGTGGCTGGAGGAGGTGAGGCATTCGGGGTGTAGTTTTGAGGTATATATTTTGTACCTGTGAGTCTCTCTGCTTCCTGATCATCATGTGAGCTGCTTCCTTCTGCCACACTCTTCTATCATGATGTTCAGCCTCAGCTTGAGCCTAGAGGAATGGAACCTGCCATCTATGGACTGAGACCTCTGAAACCGTGAGCCCCAAATAAGCTCTTTGTCCCCTATAGTTATTCTGGTTGGGTCCTTTAGTCACAGCAGTGAAAAAGCTAAAACATGATCTTTCTTCTCTCATAAGCTTTTTCTAAAAGGAAATCTCTTTATTTTATGTGTATATAAGATTCACCATTTTAACCATTTTATAAGGGTATAAGTCAGGGAGCTCATGTGCTGGAGTCACATGCACAAGGCTCTGGGTTCAATCCCTAGCACCACACACACACACACACACACACACACACACACACACACAGAAGTATAGTTCAGTGACATTAAGTATACTTACAGTATTGAGCAACCCATTATCCACCTGCAGAAATTTTCATCAACTAAAATTGAATTTATGTGCTCATGAAATAATAAGTCCCCATTCCCTCCTTGCTGCAGTCCTGGTGACCACTATTTAACTTTTGCCTCTATGAATTTGCCTAGTCCAGCCTCCACATGTAAGATTATACTACATTTGTCCTTTTGCAAATGGCTTGCTTCTTTCAGCATGACGTCTGCGTGGCTCAGCCTTGCTGTAGCATGTCTCGGATTGTCACTTTTTCTGATGGCTGAATAGTATTCCATTGTATATATTACATTCTGTTTAATATGTTCATTTATCAGTAGATGTTTGAGTCATTTCCACTTTTTGGCTATTAGGAATAGTGATGAATATTGAAATGCAAATTTGTGTTTGAGATTCTACTTTCGAATCTTTCAAATATTTGGAAGTGGAATTGCTGGATCAAGTTTTAATTTGATGCTCATTTTTTTTTTTTTTAAAGGCACGTGTCGCACCCTCCCCTGGCTTTAAGTAAAGTTTCATCATTGCTCACCTCTTCTCATCCTCCAAGGAGAGCTGGGCTTTTGCTTTCCCTGTTTCTAGATTGATTATAAAGTAGAAGTAGGTATAGGGGAGAAAAAACATTTTTTTCCTCACCCATCTCTAGGTTCATGGCTGAGAACCTAGAACAAAAGACAGATTGACAGGATAAAAGCAGACAGGTGCGTTTCATCTGTTCTATGCGACAAGGGAGACTTCAGAAACGAAGACCTAAAGAAATTGGACAAACTACTGTAGGACAAAAATGTTTGTGCTAAGGGTGACAGTGGGGAACTTAGCAGGTCCCGGGTGTCCCCTGAGGGTCTTATGACCCAGGGTGAGGGGAGGCTTAGCTAGGTTTATGGCCTGCTTCCATAGTGGAGGAGCGAGAGGACTTCTTTCTGGTGTCTGTGGCCTCTTCTGCTGTCATATGCCGTGGTGCCATGTTTTGGGGTAGCCTGTCCTAGGTAGAACAGGTAGAGGAAAAACCAGGACCAGGACGGGAGAAGGAAATGAAGAGGCTCCCAGTTTTCTGTCAGACTCTAGGCGTCTGTTTTAGTGGAGAACTCAGGTAAGGGGCAAAGCAAGTGGAAATGAGGTCAAGGGCTGCTCTGATCTTCCAGCTGAAGAGCTGGGTGGGGCAGAGGAGGAGAGGTGCTGGGGCAGGTGTAGGCCAGCAGGGTGCAGGACCGAGGGCTTACCAGGGTTGCTGCTGCAGGCTGTGATCGGGACCTGCGAGTTGTTCTGTTTGGAATTCCCCCGTTGGATTGGGCTTCCTGACATTTGACTCCCTACAGACCCTGAGTGGGGGAAGCTGCGTCCCACCTGGCCAGAGCAGCTGCCAACGCCTGCGAGTGTGTTAGCCGAGTCCCTAACATTTCAGAAAATGAAAATCAAAAACCAAATGCTTAATTAGAGGCAAGGTAATAACAAAATATGAATTGTTTCTTCTCAGGCCTTTTGGCTACAACCTATTAGTAAAGTGAATGCAGTATTTCCATCGCCTGTAGCCCAGGCTTTCAGCTCTGGTTTTAATTGGAGTTGTGCATTTGAATATTCATAAGTATGAATTGCAAGCTCACAAATCAGGATTATTTTTTGTCTAGAACACCAACCAGAAATCATGTCACCCTTTGTTTGGAAAAACAATATGGTGCGTGGGCTGGAATGAGGTTATAGTAACAGAATTTTCAGGATCCCAAATTGGGTTGTGTTCTGACACATGTTCTGATAAGGCAAAATATTTTAAATCAGTAGAGTCCTAGAAAATCCAGGACATATGGCTGCCTTAGTTTGGGTACTAAAATAAGATCCCTCACTCAGACACGATCTTTTCAGTCAATTAAACAGCATCATCCCAGTACATTTAAGGTGCCCTTGATTTATGGGTTTAGTCACTTCCTGGCAAGAAGAGCCCTTCGGGGTGGGTTTCCAGCCTCCTTTTGATTCTTTGCTCTCCACAGCCTACTTTTACCCATTCAGAACTGCTCAGTTCCACTTCCGTGCTGTGCACTCCATGCTTGGGCACATGAAGCCCTCTTCTCGTGGAACACCCTTCCCTGCGCTCTGCCCAGACAACCTCTGCTTCTTCCTGTAGACTTCACCTTAGCTACCAAGGGCGAGGGGAAGACTTCTTACATCACTTCTTACCTTGTGTTTGATCTTGGCGCCTCTGCCGTGCCTCCTGTTGTCTCTGCACACCTCCATCCTGGTGCGTTTCACAAGTCCTGTCAATTTTGATTCGTTTGTCATCATTTCCCTGAGGCAGTGAGCTGTCTGAGGTCCAGGTCTATTTCTTATTAGAACTCGGATCTCTGCCTTCTTACTGGAGTGCTTGCAACCCTAGACAGTCACACATATGAAAGACCAATTAACAATTAGGTGGATAAATGAATAAAATGATGGCAGCCTGCTCTAATTATGAAGTCTTGAAGGAATCAGGACTGCGGGGAAGATATTCAGAGAGTTGGCAAGTGAGGCTATAGGCAATGACATGATCGTGGAGAGAGCATCTGCAAAGGAAAAGAAAAGGAGAAAACTCTGCAGATTAGGAAGGGTAAGGAAGGCAGAGTCAGGAAGGAGAGGTGGAGACCTGTGTGCATCTCACCTGAGGAAGGAGTGAGTTTCTGATGTAGGGCCTGGGAGCCCCGGTGTGAAATCTGGAGAAGAATGAGGCATTTGGATTCTCTGCATTAAAAGTATTGATGCATTATCACCAGGATGACAAAAGTGAAAAGATTAAAAAAAATATATTGGTGAGGCTCTGGAGCAATCAGAATTCTCATACACCACCAGCAGGAATGTAGATTGGCATAAGCATAGAAACTGGCAATATCTGTAATATTAAAGCTAAAGATGTGAATACTTTATGGTCTCCCCAAATTCCACCTCTAGATGCATGCCAACAGAAATATACACATATTTTTATTGAAAGATTGTATGTGTGTGTGTGTGTGTGTGTGTGTGTGTGTGTGTAGCACCACTATTAATAAAAGGACTGGGCTGGAAGCTATTCAAATGCCGTCAACAGTGAATATATGAATAAATCGCAGTATATCCACACAATAGAAAACTCACAGGAGCCAGAATGAATGACCTACAAATGTCCACAGCAACATGAATAAACCTGATCCAATGTTTGATGGAAGAAGACAGACCCTCCAAAAGCATAACAAGCAACACTAAGTTACGATTTCAGGAGTCAGGATAGTGGTGAGTGAGCCCATGGGGGGGTGTGGGTGGGGGTGTGCTCCAAGGAATCTGGAATTTGGGAAGGTCCCTTTCCTGGGTGAGGGGCTGACCCAGAGCGGGTGCTCAGTTTGCACACACCCACTAAGCCTTTCACTAATACCTCATCCGCTTTGCTGTGTACACATGGCTTTCAGTACAAATTCTAAGACACAATCAAAATTCAGTTAAGGAATGGCATGAAACAGTATCCTGATGATCAAAGTAGACTTTTTTTTTAAAAGTATTGATGTTTGACAGACAATTTCAGCACAAAGGAAAACTCTAGTGGGATGAGGGAGGAGAGATGAGGGTTTGTGTCCCGCTTTAGAGGAGGAATTAAAAAAATAACAAAACACAGGTAAGCATACCTGGGTCAGGAAAAGAGCTGGGATTTCATCTCATTTTGTCCCCTTTAAGGCAGATACATCCAGGGCTTGTCGTCTCAAGAAGGGAGAGAAAGGATGAAGCCAAGTCTGAGAGAAGGAATGAGGATGGGATCGGGGCCAAGGTCAGAAGAGGATCAAGCTCCCTTCCTTAGAGTGCAGGGGCGGGCGGGAGGGCGGAGGCTGAGGCTCTGGTGGGTGTCCAGGTCTATGCAGGTTCAAGCGTGGGAGGTGGAAGTAGAGACAAGTCTTGAAAAGAGTGAAAAATGAGCAGCGGGGTTCCCAGGGACCATAGCGGGGAGACAGCCTATAACAGTCTGTGGGGGGCGCCCTTGGCAGGTGCCAGGGTGCGAGGCTTTGGGGTACAGGGAGAAATGGAAGGGAAGTGGGGTGGACTGACAGGTGGGCACAGTGGATGTGGCAGGGAGAGGGCTCCAGGGTGGTGAAGCATCTTGACACACAGCCCCGCCGGGGTCCAGAGTCATCGGCAGGGAGTAACTGAAGCAGAGTGGTCAGGGGAGGCTGGGACGACAGACATGTCTGTCCAAGGGGCTGAGGTCGGGGGTCAGCGGGGACCACGTTTGTGTGTGTAGGGGAGGGAGAGATGTCAGGCCAAGCTCCTGTGGCTCCTGGGGTAGAATTCAGGTCCTTCCTAAGTCCCAACTGTCTTCTCCTCTCATCCCAGAGTGAGTATTTCATTGTGGCCATAATCTCTCTACATAAAGCTCCTTAAGAAGCAAAAACTTGGGATAAACATTTTTTTTCCCCAATAAAAAGACGAGCCCTTCCTGCTGTACAGCAGTGGTGCTCATGGTGGACACAAGGAGTCACATCTAGGCAGGAATCCCTTTAGTCCCAAGAGGTTTGAGACTAATATTTGAATGCCCCTCAAAACATAGGGGTCTAATATTTGAATGCCCCTCAAAACATAGGGGGATTCTTAGAAAGGTCGGTGACTCTAGCACAGTGACAGACCCCCATGTCACTGAGAGCCATGGGTAGGAAGGTGTTCTTCACCAGACGCCAGCTCCCTCGTTCCTAAAGACACGGTCAGAGATGCTTTTTATTTCATTTTATTTTTTTGTCCTTTAAAAAGTAAACTTCGAAAATTATGTTTTTACTAATGGAACCACTAAGATGGGATGGATCCTAGCGCTTGGGCTATTAGCCCCGACCAGTCTGTCACACAGAGCTCCTTTTGTAACCACACATAACCTGCCAGTCACCACCACCGCCATCATCGGTGGCTTCTACCCCAAATTCTCATATTACACACTTTCAGCACCATTACTCAAAATTGGAGAATTTCAGGCCGAATCATCTGTGAAAACATCAGAGGTAAAAATCAGCTATTATGGGGTGTTGATGTCACGCCAAGGCCTTGTTTGCTACTTTTCTGCTCATTTTACTTCACTTAACCCACTAGAAAAGGAACTGAACTATAATCAACTGTAATTTATCAGTGCTAATGGAGGGGAGAAGAGTTACTGGCAATATAAGATAGCCAATAATGAGGGATAAATATAGGAAAAAGACAACATATTCATACATATTTTTTAGCTATTAGAAAAACTATTTGCCCTAATAATTTTGCAATTCAACCAGAATGTCCTGTGGCCTGGGGCAGGGAAAGTTGCAGAACAAGATTACCCAGGAACGGTGCACATGTTGGTGTCTGGCGGATGAAGGAAAGCTGCATTAGGAAACCCAACGAGCAGAAAATTGTGAGCTGATTTGTAGTCACTTACAGTTGAGAGCAGACGGGTCTATCTGAGCCATGTTCACATATCCTGTTTATTTTCTCATTTGCAAAATTGCCACATTTAATTCTACAACTTATTTTTTTTTCTATGAATCATCTGAAAGTAGATCTGCCCTTTTTTGCTGAGCTCCAGGAAAAACTCCAAATCAGTATGGCTCTCAACGTTTACTCTAGAAATGGACATGAGACTTGGCAGATGTCAGTCTGATGGAGGGGCTTGGATCTTGCCTGCTCTTGAAGGATGCCCTTGAGGTTGCTGGGAGACAGGCCGTGTCAGTCTGTCAATGGGACACAGCCCTCTTCGCATCTTGACATCTCATTTCTGTAGGAAAGTGCAGATCATTTTGCTGGCCCCTGGGAACGAGTCAGAATAAATCAAGATCTGCATTAAAACTGAAATCTCCATTCCTTTTTGTATCAGATTTGCTTGAGCTGAACATAAATGTGTGGGAAAAGAGGGCAGACCCATAGTGTCCAATAAAAAAAAAATTCTCTTTCTTTGCAGTCGAATAATTAGCTACATAGGAATTTAGAGCTTTACTGATTCTGAGTGTGAGACAACTGTACGCATTCCCATGGAGTCTTTCCCCTATCCCCAATCCCATTTCTCCCTTGTCCTTAACTGTCACATGTGACATCATGTCTACTCATGACAGACCCTTCACCCTTGAAGGCTTCTACTCTGGAGAATCAATTTCTTCATATTTATTTGGTTAAGCGCCACCTTCCGAAACCCAGTCATTTCAGTGGCCAGTTAGCTGGTTCCCTGGCTCGTGAAAGCCTCCGATGCTCTTAGAAGCACCACAGCACTCTTTTTAAGAGGTGGGGACAGTTGGCAGGACTTGGGGTGTTGCTGCCATCCTTGTCCAGCGTCCTTCATGTTTGGGAGGCCAGGGCTATCAGGAGCTTTGCTGTATCTTTTGATGTATGAAGAATCTAATTTAGGACTTAGTCTGTGCACATTTTCCGGAGACGGAGCCAGGCATTTAGGGCAGAGGAGTGGTATTTGCAAGGGGGACTTCACAGAAGAGATTTTTCTTTCCCCCTTGATAAGCAGGGAAGGAACTGGTTAGCTTTTAATGGAACTCATTTTCCCTTACCCCCAAGATCAGGGTGAGATCACATTTTCAGACCCCTTGATGTTCCAAGTGGTCACATGACTGAAATCTGGCCCATGGAATGTGCTAGAAAGTCACCTTCACATCTCTGAGGAATGTAGATCTGGCCCATAAAAAGCTCCCACATATGATCCTCCATGGTCTTTCCCCAGCCTGATGCGAGTAAACATGGGAAGTCTAGGCTCAAAGATGATGGAGCCACAAGATGGATGGATCCTGGGTCCCTGAGTCACTGCTTGGAAGGTGTTGGCCTTCAGATTTGGAATAATCTTTATGTGAACAAAATAAACATCTACTCTCTGAAGCTCCTAAGATTTAACATTTTATCTTTTGTATCCTTAATTAGTTCTTCCTTAATGTAAATGTCAAGACAGCATATGCCTAAATTTTAATACATACTGAAAATATTTTGGTCCTCTGTGGCGAGCAGTTTCCAGCCTACCTTTGTAAAAACAAAGGCCTATGCATTTGCAAGGGTCATTGATTTCAAATCTTTGAAAGACAAGAGATTTCTAAAAGTTGGTTCATATTCATGATCAGGAGACTTTAATGCAAGAGCAATCACAAAATATTAAGTAGGGATGACAGTCACAGACAACAATGGGTGGGTGTGGAGGAGTAAACTGGTAGGACTATGATAGTAAAGCAACACACAAAGACCAGTGAGTGAACCGTGTGGGTAAATGTTGAGAACTCAAAAGGAGCCGTTAGAGAAGGGCTAGGGAGTTTGGAGACTTGTCAGAGATGCACAAGGAGCTGGGAGTTGTTCGAAGGTGAAGGACCAGCCCTGGAGCTCCTGAGTGTGAATTGATTTCCGTTTCCTTTGAAAGCTGCCTCAGGCTGGAGGACATGGACAAGGACATGCTTTACAGTGACAGTGAGATGGTGTTTTGCGTACAAGGTCTTATCCAGAGATTCTCTGGACAGAGATCTTAACTTCCTGAAGTACACCTTAGGTTGCTTGTCTTGAAATGATCAAAGACCATCCAAATGAGAAAAGCAAAGGCTACGGATTCAGACTTGCTGTGGCGTGAGGTTGGCCACTATCACTTGCATTTGGCAGACTCTAAGGCCTGTCCGTGTCCCCACATTGGCAGGTGGCTGCACAGTGTGGGCCCCAGTTCCGTTTTCTTGTGTGGTCTGGCCACTGCCCATTTGCAGATTCCTTCTCTCATTCATTTATTTTACTGACAGCTGGCTCCACCGGCCCCCCGCCCCCATTGTATTATAAATCTCCTTCTTGGCTTTAACTTGGCTCTGAGGATGGGTGTGAGGAAAGGTCACATCCTTCTGACCCAGAAACAAGACCTCTGCCCTCCTTAGACACCTTCGCAAGAATTTTGGGAGCAAATTTGTCTATCTTATCTTACCCTCCCCCACAAAAGTCTTAATTTTTCTTTTCTTTTTTTTTTTGTATGGGTTCTCAAAATCTTTCCTCCTATTTCTGTGTTTGCTGATGGCCCTGGTGTCCTCATGAAAGTTGGTGACTAACCCCTGTGTCCTGCTCCTCAGTGGCCAGGAAGGAGAGGGTTTCATTGTGTTGCATTTAAAAAAAAAAGATGAATTAAATAAAAATCTCTGAAAATAATTGGTGCACCTTTGGGTATAAATGTATTCATATTTTCTTTTCGAACTTGTTACCTTTTTTTTTTTTTTTTGGTCATTTTTAAAACAGAAATGGATCTGTCCAAAAGGCAGAAATCAAGTATCTTACGTTTCCTTCTCATGTTTCCCTTTCAGCTGCTCTAGTCAATGACAGGAAGTCCTGAGCCATTTAGTATTCTAGGCATTTAATAGACCCTCAAGTACCAGCTCTTCGGATGCCCAGTGTCGTTAAATTTGCAAAGCAGGCAGGCAGGGCATGATGCCATGTTTCCAGCTCCCTGAGACTCATTTCACGAGTTTGATTAACTCTTTGGTTCACCTCAGCAAAGAGAAGCTGAAGTGTCTGCCCAGAAGAGTTCGGGGGCATTCAAATGAGGCCTGTTGTCTGCCAAGATCAGAACAGTGCTGCACATTTTAAAGAGTCTGGTTTGAAGACCCTCCGTAGTTGTATGCCAACTTGAAGCCCAATTGATCACAAGTGGCCACTTAAGCAGTCTCAGTCTCTGGCTGGGCAAGGGCTTCTTTGTTTCAGAAAGCACTTCCCACTGGGAGAAGGGAATGTGAAGTGAGGGAGCCCTCTTTTGGAGAAGGAAAGCTAGAAAGGAAAGTGAGGCCCACAGGTCAAGAAGATGCAAGCCAGCAAATGCCCCGATGGCTTTGATTGGCAGGGAGTGCTCCAGAGCCTGCATTTCCAAACTCCATGATTGTAAGACAAAGGCTCTGTGACCACAGGGACACACTTTTCCCAAGGAATCTGGGTTATAGGAGACAAGGTTTAGCATTGCTAAGACCAGGAACTCTGAAGGTGGGAAGGAAGAGGGTGCGGTGGGTTAGGCCAGCGTCCAGGGAGGTGAGAGCAGCTGGCAGGGAGAACCTCCCTGAGGGAGAGCCAGCCACCAATGTGCCCTGGGTTCACTTCCTTTGCTTTTTACTGCAGATCCCAAGACCAACAGCAGTGGTGAGTCACATGATCATAATCCCTGATGTTTTGAGGACAGTGTCAAGTGCAGTGGGCAGCCAGCGATACCCCCTTCTGGTACCCACACCCTTCTAAGTGTGGGCTGGACTTAGGGATTCACTTCTAATAAACAGAATATGTCAAAAGTGGGGGACTGTCACTTCTGGAGAATGGGACAGACTGTGACTTCCTGCTGACTCATAGGCGCCTCCTGTCCTCTTGCTTGCCTGCACTGGTGAAGTCCTTGTCATGTGATGAACTGCCCCACATGGCAAGGAACCCAGGGCAACCTCTGGCCAACAGCCGGCAGGGGCCAGAGGCTCTCAGGCCAACGGACTGCAAAGCATTGGCTCCTGAGTGGCTCCTCTCCCTGCTGGGCCTGCAGAAGGCTGCAGTGCACCTCCACCTTGATTTTAGCTCAGGCAAGGCCTAAAGCAGAGAGCCAGCTAAGCCACGCCCAGCTTCTTGAATTACAAGCAATGGGGGAGATAAATGTTGGGGAGCAGTGGTTCTGCAGCAGCGGAGAACACAGGAGACCGTGGGGTCCTTCAGAGGTGTGCCCCTCCAAGTTTTCCTCTCTTCCCTCCTCTCTAGTCCTATAGCCTCAGCCCATTCCAGAGAAAGCTCTAACATTTCTGGGAAGGTGGATAAAACTAGATTAAGAACCCTGACATTTGCAGGATGCCCCCCACTGTCCTGACTCCCACCTTGGTTCTTTGGTCTCATTTAGCTGTGCACCAGCTAAGCTACAAGAGACGTAAAACCTGGATGATAGGAGATTAGATAAGCCAAGGGTTTATTTTTCTCGTACAACAAAATGTCTGGAGTTGGGTGTTCAAGGATATTATTTGATAAGAGTTGGCTAACTTTGTAAAAAGCCAGGGTAAATACTTTGAGCTTTGTGGGACATACAGATTCTGTGACAGCTGTTCAATTCTCCCTTGTAGCACAAAAGCAGCCACAGACAACATGTAAACCAATGACCGTGACTGTGTGCTGGGGAAACTTCATTTAGGTACAATACAATTTGAATTTCATGTAGTTTTTATGTGTTATGAAACATTGTTCTTTTGATTTTTCTCTGAACTATTTTAAAATTAAAAACCATTTTACTTGCAGGCTATATAAACAGAAATGGTAGGCTGGATTTTTTTGTCCTTTACCGTAACTTCCTCCTATTATTTGCACCCTCATTTTTAGTGTGTGGTTCGTCCTTCCTGGACACATCGTGAGAACTGCTGCTCCAGTGTTGGTGTCAGCATTCCAGGTAAAAGGAAAGATGGAAGGGGAAAAATGGAAATGGTGTCTAGACCAGCTGGGCATCAGCCTTCCAGAACCCTCACTATGTCTCCATGTCCAGAAATATGGCAACATTTTTAGCTAGGATCCTTGCAAACACGATAAAATGTGGGTTTTGGTAGCAAGGAAGAAAAGAAAGAATGGACTTGGAATGGCAAATAGCAGAGTGTACCAGAGCTGAGTTCTTGCTCTGCCTCTCCTATGCGGTCCAGAGGCAACTGACAAGTATGTGTTTTCTATGATAGCATGGATCTCAGGAAGCAATATTATTTACAATGTTACTTTTCAGTCCTCAGTGGTAGCTTATGTTATCTCAGGGCACATGGGTAAGCAAGTGTTTCGGAAACTTGGCTAGTGATTTTTATGTTGTCCTGCAAGTTTCCAATACATTGGGATAGATATCACCGGGATCAAGTTTGAAGGAGGGGGACACGTTCCACAAACAAATGCAGTGTTAGCTGGTACGAGTCGAATGATTCCTACCTCAGGCAGCTTGTTATGACTAAGATTAATTAAATGACAAGGGAAATCCTGGCATTATAGCTTGTTAGTTCTTTCTTGCTTTGAGATCTGGAATTTAACAGGTTCCTTTGAAATGGTTTTCACATTCAGAATTGTGACCAGTCAGAATTGTGTTTCATTTTTTTTTTCAAGTCCCACAAATGTGTCTGCTTTAGGAAGTCTTTGAGGACAGTATTTGAGCACACAAAGAAGGGGACACCCAGTCTTGTCCTTACAATGTGAGTAACTGGAGGGAAATCACAGGGTCCCTCTGCCCCTTGGCGATTTCTGCATATAGACAGAACACTAAGATTCTGTGGCCCTGCAGTTGTGACAACCCATAGCAGACAGACCTGGCAGGCATATTAATGTGATGTTCTGGCACAGTTACTAGGAAGTGAACCCATTTCAACACAGTAGCACGACAGGGGTGACAGATCACCACTAACTTGGAATAGTACCATTACCTTGGGGGCCTCTGGCAAACTGCAACTTGGACATGTCATTAATGTTTCTAGGCCCCAGTTTCCACTTCTCAAAATGTGCTTCTATCCACTTAAAGATTCTATAAAATCATGTTCAAGATCATAGCTTTGATATCAGACAGACTTGGATTCAAGGGCTGGCTCTGCCAGTCTCAGGCTGAGCAAATTTGGGCAAGTGGCTCTATCTTCATGAAACCCAGTTCTCCCTCTTGTAAAATGGGCCCCAAATGATCTACTTCCTGCTTTGTTTTCAGGATAAAAATAAGAAAATAAACACGATGCCTTTAGAAGTGTATTTGATACCTAGCAAGAACTCAAAACTTCTGTTCCCTATCATGATTCCATTTGGGGACTCACATGGTTCTCCTACTCAGTACCTGCTTAGTTCCTTTGTGTGATGCACGGTGAACATAGAAACGCTACAGTCTCAGTTCTGGTGGGGACTTGGCTTCTTCATCATACACAGCCGGGCAGCTCCAAGTGGATCTTGGTGTACTCACCTCAGGAAGAGCTGTTACTAAGTGGTATGGCAAGCCAGGTACTGTTCTTTATATTATTCATGATAATATGCATTATTCACTAAGTGTTCACAGTAACCACATGAAAAGGGAGTACCGTTATTCTAATGTTACCAGTGAGAAAGCTGAGGCATAGTGAGGTCATAGTGGGCCTGGGACTTCCACTTCTTCAGTGAGCCTGACTGCACTTTTGCAGGGGCCTTTGACGATGCCTGGGGACAGTTTTGGTTGTCACACTCAGGGTTGGGGATGCATGTGTTACTGGTAACTCATGAGTGGATTCTAGGGGGATTGCTGATCATTCTAAAATAACCTGGATGCCCTGCTACAATAAAGAATTGTCTGGAACAAAAGTCAATGGTGCTGAGCTTGAGAAATCCTTTCAAGGATCCGTCTGATCCCTGAGCTCCTGATCTCAGTTTCTGTATCCAGTTTTTATGTTCTGCATCAGTCTGGCAAGGATAATTAAAAGACAAAGTGATAACTTTACGGGATTCTTCAGGTCCTGTGTGCCATTCTGAAACAACTTTAAGAGTAAGTAATGAATCTGAGAATCGATTGCTATTTAGTTTTTCCAAAAAGTTAATTGTGGAATGAATTGTGTCGAAAATCTGAATGTGAAATACCTTCAGAAAACCCCCCACCAAAGTCTCCTCCTTTGATCCAGAAATAACAAGATTCTGTGAGTGCCTGGTGAACTTGAAAAAGAATGCTAAAGTAATACTTCAGTCAAAGTGCATATCCTCAGGGAGGTGGCCTCTGTGGGCGGTGACAGCCACAAGAAGGAGAAGACACAAAGCAGATGCTGGCTGGCGCTTCTTCTTTTTTTTTTAAAAAGCCTCAAGATCCTGGTAGCACATGAAAGAATTAACAACCTCCTCGGGAAAGATGGGGCTGAGGTGGAAGTGTGAGCCCTCAAGAGCATCCTGACCCTCTCTGGACAGCAGGTGTGAAGCCAACAGACATTCACTCGCACCTCCAGGGCCCAGGGACAGCTGTGGACCAGAGAAGCAAGGCCCTGCCTTCCTGGGGCTTCTGCTTGTGGGTGAGAACAAACATGTGTACTTTGCTATCAGATGGGGACAAGGGCTGGAGAAGGATAGCAACGAAACCGCTGCAGAATACCTGTGCTGGTCTCTTCAAAGGAGGCCCGTGGAAGGGCTTTCTGAGGACGGCATTGGGGTGGAAACCCAAATCAAGAGAGGCTAGGGGCCACTCAGAAGTATGGGGGTGGGTGCTGCAGATAGAGTGACGCCCGGGCTGGAGAAGGCCACCTTCCTTCCCTCTGAGCAAGAGGACCAGGGCGCCAGAACCAGAATAAGTAGCTGGAACCAGCCCGTGGCAGGGCCAGGGCAGCCAGGCCTCAGGCTCTGGTCAACAGCTGCCCCTTTGTCTGCAGTAAACAGGTATCGGGGGACAGTCGCCAGGGAATCGAGGTGAGCCAGTGCCCCAGGCGATGGCGGGCCATGGCAGAGACCGCGGCTGATGAAGGAGGGGTTTGGTTAGCATCATCACAGCAGATTCTTTCCCTTTTGCTATTTGAGGGAAAAAGCACAAAAAATATGGACGTTGGAGTCCCTCTCAATTAGAACTCTGTCTTCTACTGTCAGTGCTGCCTGGCCTCCTGTCATTGAGACCTTTCCTCATGAAATAGGGGCACACGCAGTCATCTCTCATGACTATTGCCAGAATTGTAGGTCAGGCACCTGCCATGGTTCTAGGCACTAAACTTCATAAATGGTCCTTCCATTCCCACAGAAGTGTGTGGAGATTAGAGCCGCAAATTAGGAGTCACACAAATGAGGCAAAGTTCATTTATTTTCAAAGGACACAGTTGACTTGTCAGTAGCGAAACACTCCCTTCCTCTTCCCCAGTATCCTGACATCCTGGGTGACAGCATTTGTTCCTTGTTTTTCATTGATAAACAGTTATGACTTTTGCTAACGCGTTGCCCATGGCAAGAGTTAAACCAAGTGTGGTTCCTTCTGAGGGTGGACCCTGGGTGGACCACACACCCAGGAGGCTGGCCTTGGGGTAAGGTTCTGACTTTCATGGGTTGTAGGTGCCTTTGTTTTCATTAGCTTCTTTCTCCACAAAAATATTAAAAAATGATATCTTACCACCATATGAGTATGAAGACAGATATATCAATTTTATATATTAATATTCTTCAAACTAAAGTTTCATTGTCTTCTTCTGATTTAAAAAAAAAAAAGTTAAAACATTTTGTTGGCCTCTAGAAGGCCCGTGGGCTGTTGTCCTTCTATAGTGCTGGGGCACCCTGGGGCTTCTGCTCCGTGGTCTTCGTGGACTGGTGTCTCATCGTGACCCATCCCTAGTCCCCACCCCTCACCCCGCTTCCAGTCCCGGTGCAGTGTAATCCCCAGGTGGCTTGGACGGCACGTTCTTCAAGGCTGACGCTGTTGGCTACTTTTTCTTCCTGTGATGGACGATGAGGTGACTCAGACCACAGAAGTGAGAAGGCACACATCATCTCATCAGTCTCTGAAAGTTAAAAATTGATGATATACAAGGAAAACACAAATTAGTTTTGCTTAACCTCTACTTCCCAAAGCAAAACATATGACAGAAAATTTAATTGAAAGGCCAGTGAGGAGCCGCGAGGAGCCAGGAGGTCTGCTTTGAATTCACCATGCACGCGGCTGACTCCCCTGGCCTTTGGTCTTTACTAAGATGTCATTTTATCAGAGGCCACTGTATCGAACGGCGACATCCCCCAACACCAGGCACTGCAAAGCCCTCTCGCTCTCATTAGCCTAGGCCCTGTCAGGAGGAGGAGCTGGTGAAGACGAGGACTTGGTTCCTTGTCACTGCTGTTCCTACCCCCTGAGGTTGTTTTGATTTAAATATTTAGGTCTTAATCAATTTTGATGAATGAAGAAAAATGGATGTTTGAGTACTTAAATTGGTTCCTTGGACTTGAGCCTCTGGAAGTTCCACCTGTTAACCTCCCTGGAAGCTTCAAGTCTCACTGGTTTAGTGATCACGGTTGACTGGCTAATATGCATGATTCAGCCGGAGACGCTCTTACCTATTCTTTGCCCTAATGACATCTTTCCCAATTTGCATAGTCCAACAGGGTGGATTATCCTGCCTGGATGTTCTTCAGATGAGAGTAGACAAGAAGATTATCTTTTTATAATCTCTAAAAATGTATTGAAGGGATGTTTGTGGATAAGAAAAAAAAATTCTCCACCCTTCCCTCTCTGGTATGTGAATTTGGGCTTGGAAAATGATGATTAGAGCAGTTGCTGTGACCAACACGGACAAGAGCAAGTTTAAGAAAAGAGACAGGAAGATATTGGCAGTGAGGTCTCTGTAGGACTTATGACTTTAAGTCTCCCAGGACACACCAGTTCCCTGATACTGATGTAATGTTTCTTGAGGTGAATTAACAAATGAAATGGCACTGGCCTGGGTGGAAAACGGGGTCACAATGACCCTGAAGGACTGGATTTACCATGTGGTTAATGAGGAGAGACTCCGTCCCTTTTCTTTGTTGATAGGTCATCTCTGCCATTAGTAACTGGAACAAGAGTTAAAATGCATGTGACATTTCCAAAATACCATTCCTTGTTGAAAGGTTAGCACTGTAGCAAAGTTTAAGAGAATGCAGGAGGCCATCTTTCTTGTGTTCTTGTAAGCATGTGTAGTTAAAAGTTGTTGTCAGTCAAGTCAAAGATTATACGATTGCAAGGTAGTAAAAGCTTAGTTTCTAAGCATTCAGTGACCTGAATGACTGGAAAACTGAATTATTATTTTTACACTACAATCTGACTGTAGGGAACGTCTTATATAAAATGTAGGCAGAGAAGTTTCATGATGATTGAAATGGTTTCCTTTAAACTTTAACTATATGTCAAAATATCAAGTCATAAAGCCCAACACCCAAGTTATACAATAAAAGTAAAGTCATTTTCATAAGAATAATTTTGCATGGAATCAGGATGAATTCCTTTCAAATGTTTCCTTTGACTATGAAGAACTCATTATAGAAATTATATTTACCTAAAACTAGAAGAGGATGAAGTTGGATTTGAAGCATCACAAAGTGACACAGGGACCAGCTGCCTCTAATGCCTGGATCAAAGTTCAGGGTAATTGCACTTTTACTTAACAGCATAGCTTCGCCAGTTATTCTTTTGGAGAATTAAGGAACAGTAACATATAGAATTTATGAAGCACTGTGCATTAACGATCAGTGGCGTGTGAAACATCAACTGTATAAACATAGAAAATGTTTAGCACCTTTTTCCTTTGCAAAGTGTTTTGCATCTATTAGCTTATTGAATACTCAAAGCAACCCTCAGACTTGATATTTATTATCTTATGCCCATTTCCTCAGTGCTCAGAGATATTTAGGCAGGCATTCCAAAACCTGTTGTTCGGAAGTGGTAGTACTTAATCCCGTGTGTTTTTTCCTGCCATGTCTTGCTGCTTGATGGCATCTGGCAATCTCCTTACTTTATAATATCTGCTGTTTAATACTGGGTATTGTAGATGTGCAGATCAAAATGGGCAGAAAATGCTCCTGTTACTGCAACGAGATGATAAAACAAATGTCTTAAAATCATTTGAAAAGCCACTGTAGGGAGTGAGCTGTGCCCCAAATGCTAAAAAGAAGCAATTTGAGTGTAAGTGATATGGCATTTACCTTATCTACTTTCTAGACTGCAGTTGGCATCTTTAGCCTACATCAGTAGGTTAAATCAGTTATCCATATGTGTATAAAGTCAATTATCTAAATATGCAGTTTAAAAACTGGAGTCTATGAAAGCTTATAACTAAAATATCTGTCCCCGATCACAGACTTCTCTTCCCCAGCTAACCGTCAACTTTGGGGCCACTGCATTTGTTTTAATATTGCAGGTTGCTGGTGGCAACAATCAGGGTATTAACCATCTCTAAATCTCCGTGCTTGGGATATGGAATGATTGAAAATGATGCATTGAATAACTTCCTAATGGGTCTCTCTGCTGCCACCTTTGCCCTTTCTAGTCTGTTCCCGGTGCAGCAGCCTGAATGATCTTGTTAAAGACCATGTCACTCCTCAACTGCATTCCTTGCAATGGCCTCCGTTCACTCAAAGTGAA